ACACTCTACAATAGCCAGGACTATGGGCATTGTAAAGCCTGAAGTCACCAGCAGCAAACATATCACAGGGAAAGGTCTTTGAGCATCCGCATCAGCTGCAAACTTTAATTATCCAATCTGACAATGTGACAAAAGACCACTAGCTCAATGTTGGTTTGTAGATATTTAATCTCCTGTGCATCAGTATTGGCTGCTATGACTCAGTGTTTGATTATCAGTCAGTCCTGACCCAATCACTGACATGCTACACTTTCCATCCAATACAATGACAAATGCCTCAACTGCCTCTTCGCTTCCTCTTTTTCTTGTCCTTTCCCTTTCTTTTTCTCTGCACTACAAACAAGTCTGTCAAAATTCATCCTGCCACAACTGTTGTGGTGACCATGAGCTCTACCCGTCCTCATAGCATCCATATTGCAGTGCCCCTAGCGAGCATAAGACAAACTAAATATGGCTTTGTCGTTCATCATTCTCCCAGATTTCTGTTGTGATGTTAGTGTGACTACTACTTCCCTCTGAGCAGCATGGCCCCTTGTTCTCACAATGCCTGGACAAAGAGGAAACACTCATAAGAGGATAATTGGGCCCCTGACGCTTTTCTCAGGCTGTACTGTGGAGAACTCATTCTGCTTCTGCGTAGGTGCACAATTTCCTTAAATGTGCTTCCAAAGCCGCAGAGGCCATATGACTTCAGCGTGTTGACAACCCATCAGCTCACTGCAATATTTCTTGTGTCCTTCTGCTTTGCATCAGCACGCTACAAGGTAACACAGCAGCACATAGCAGGACATCATTAGACAATCACTGCACTGTGTCCTCTCAAACTCTGTAAAGCAGATTGTTTTCCATCTCACTTGTAAATGATCAACAGACAGTAAACGGCATATTAAAATCACATCTTATCTTAAGGTATGCCGATCAGATGTATTAGTATCAGTGCGGTAAATTTACTGATCTTCTGAGCACTGACCATAGACCCCCGTCCCCGTCCCCGTCCCTTGCTCTGATCTGAGAATATAAACATCCACCCTCTCTGGTCTGGCCTTCACCTCTGTCTGCATGTCTTTGTGGCCAGAGAAAGTAACAGTGACTTTGTATTTGTGTGTATGTGTGTGGGGGTCTGGCACCATGCCATCCATCTTGTACAGCTTTTTTTAGATGGACTCCTGGGAGATTTTTTAAAAACAGCCAGCAAGCAATCTCAGTAAATCATGTTATTTATGACTCCTTTTTCTGGATTGGAATTTCCTAGCATGTCTCTGTATGTAACTGTAAACAGCCACAGTGACTCTTGACAGCATGGACACATAAATAGAGTACCAAAGTTTGCATATGTTAGCTGAGCAAAAAAGAGTAGAGTGGGATTCATAAGTTTAGAGTTATTGCTTAAGTGATGATACTGAATGGCTGTTTCAGTGTTCAGTTTGCAGTGAGGCAGCAACATGGGGCAGGCAGCAGTGTTTTACCATTAGCTACCCCATTAGCTGGTTAGTACTACCTCTGATTAGATTAGAAACAACTTTTTTGTCATTATGCAGAGAAGGGGTACAGAGCTAATGAAATGCAGTTACCATCTAACCAAAAGTGCTGGAATATTTTTCCAGATGGGTGCAGTTATGCTATATCTTACAATATGTACAATAGAGTTACAATATACAGATATTATACAGTAGCCTATGGCATTTGTAAATATATTAAAAATGTATAGAAGAGAAGTGGACAGAGTTAGAGAATGGAGAGTGAAAATGTAAGGATGTATGTAGAGTATGAAAAGCAATCTATACATATAGTATGGTATAGTGTTGGTATAAAGTCGGTTAATGCACAGTAACATTATTTAACATTGTAGGGGTATAGTCTGTGCAACAAAAAGTTAAATAGCGTAGGGTTTCAGTCTGTGCAAAAATATGGTCACTGCACAAGTTACATTTTTATTTATTACTAGATTCTTCATCTGAAATACATGAAATATTTTGTCACATTCATGAATAAAAGGTGTGATATGGCAAGAATAACTATCCTAGTTGTATAACTTGTACTATAACTATAAGTTGTAAATTAAATAGTAGGGTTAATAAATAATTACACAATTATATACAGACACAATTGTATATTTCGATTAGTAAAGGTTATTAGTATACACTCAATTTAGCTACCTGCATGTCTTTTAACAGGGCATCTCTCAATGTTTCAAACCCAAACCACAATAAAACTGGATTAAACTAAACAAGTGGGACATGTTTGCGTCCATGAAATCAAGATAAATGTTAGCTTCTCTTGGGATTTTGAGGCATCTTGTTAATTCAGAAAAACAGAGCAGAATCATTTTTTTCCCATGAACACTTATCTCATAATTCTGAGAAAATTATCTTGTTAATTCAAAAAATTTTCATCACTAGTGTCACTAGTTTTTGTAGCGGGACTCGACAGAGTCACAAGAATGCGTCAAACTAATGTGCTTGTTAATCATATCACAGGTGTGTGTGGGGGCCAAAAACACCTGTGAGGCAGGCTACTTCCTTCCCTTCCAGGGTCGGACCTCTCGTTTATCTTCCATGATGATGCACATAAGCATCCAACCAGATGTGGTATGGAGACCCACCTCCATAGTTGCTTTTATTGTATATGGTCCAGCAGATGAGTGACAGATTGGATTTAACCTCGATTTATCCGGTTAGTGTTTGCTGAGTATGCTTTTGTTAAGTGCCTGGTTTTCTTTAACAGCAGATGTTCAGAGTTGGAGATGAATGTTTCTTTTTTTTTCCCCTGTCACCTACATTTTTTCAGTCAGATCTGTGATCATTCCTTTGACCTTCATGCTGCTGTCACCCTTTTTTAGCCAGACACAGAGGATTAACAGTGAATGGGTTATGTGAGATGATTGTGCCTGCACATATGAAATAGGTATATCCCACCTGCCAGCGCTGCCAGGAAATAGAAAACACAATTCCCATGTCAGACATCAGCTCAGACAGATGGTTGTGTGAGACTGAGAGTGTGAAGCTGATTATCCCTGCTAGTGCCTCTTTGGTCTACTGGGAGCACTCCGATGACTGGTAGATTAATTTAATTCCCACATGAGAAACTATGGGCTTAAATGTGTTTAGCAACAATAAACATAACAAAATAACCAAGGCTTTGTGTTTGTGCAGCTCACGGAGGTCAATGGTTCACAGTATAAGATTTGTCTCTGAGGATAATGAGTGGAGTCTAGCTGACTGTGCTAATGATCTGCTGTGTTGAAGGATAATTAGTTTTGTCTCTTCCAGCGGGTTTCAAAGGCATCAAGATACATTTTTCATTGTTTTACAAATAGTTGTGGCGTTTCCCAGGAGCTGGGTCAAATCTGCTAAGGCTGCAATAGATTCTGTGTGGTTGTCTTCAGTGCAGGTTTGATTGGTTAAAAATGTAAATGTAATACAATGAAATATATACTACAAATTCTCCAGCAGAGATGTTCCATAGACCCTTTTCACTGCAACATTTTGATATGTCATGGCAGGAAAAACCCTTTATTACCATTAATAACGATTGTATTACATTTTCCACACATGCAGGCTCGCTGACATGGCTTTGTCAGACCAATAAATCAAGAATTAATGTTATTAGTTACACGTGTGTCTTTCCTTTCTTTTATGATAAGTCCAAATACAGTATACAGTCTGCTTTGAAAACAATCCTGTCTAACAGAAATGTATATTAAGCTACTTTGCAACACCATGTATCTGCAACGTCATAACTTGTTTGCACAGAACATATCTGCAAAATGTTGATTGACAATCCATTTCATTTGTTTTCCCTATATATGCCCTTGTAGCAAATACAGCATAATTAATGTTTTCATGGTTAGGTTTGGGTACTGAAAGCACTTGGCTAAGGTTAGAGAAAGATTGTGGTCAATACTGACATGAAGACATGACTTGTTTACTGATAAAACCACATAAACTCCCATAAACTCAACCAAAGTGTCCCACAACTCAAAAAAGCAGTACAAAGCAGGACTTAAACATAATTTCAAGGAGACAGGGTTAGTGAACACGGTCTGTTCTATTCTCAGTTTTCAAGCTTGTTTGCTACAGAAAATGAAATCTCTCTCACAGAGCCACCAGAGCACCACCAACATGCTAATTACATGAGCTGATGCTGCAGCTTAGACAAGGGTCAATGTCATGAAGGTGAGACAAAATGAACCTGCTCAAGGCACAGGTGTTATAGTCTTAGAGATCATACAGTGGTTATGTCTTAAATTAAACCCAAAGCATAGCATTATGAAAGAGGTAATAAAGGAAGGACATGCAAAATGAACTTTCTATAGTCGAAAGTTTATCAGATATAACAAAAGAAATCCTTGAACTGGTAAAACTTAATATCCTACAGCTTCTCAGGATCATATATTTTATAGCTGGTAAATTCAAAATAGCTGTAAATGCAAAAAATGCCTGTTTCATTTATGTGCTGTAGCCCACAGTTGTGATATTTTTATCTCTATCTTCATTTACTGTCTTGAGTATAGTATGATTTTAATATAACACAATGCAAGAAAGTACTTTAAACAATTATTTGTTGTTTTTTCCACCAATCCTCAAAATGTCCACAAACCCCCAAGGAAATAGTTGTAGCAGGAAGCAGGAACTCTTCCCACCTCCTGTCAACAATATATATATATCAGCAGAGTAATTTTTCAGAGATATTTTTTTCAAATAACTGGTCACCAATACATGAGCAAAAACCACATTTTGGTGTGGGCATTTGTGCCAAACCTAGATTGCCATACAAAATAACATAATTATAGTATACATCCTGTTTAATATGATCATAAATCTCACTTTTTAAGCCTCTTAATGAATGTATTTTTAGCACTATCCTGTAAACAGACACTGTTGTGTTGACCAAATACACAACAAATAAATATATTAAACAGGCTACAGCATTCATTAGAGTTGGACAATAAGAGCTTGCTGATTTTCTTTTCAATGTCGTTCTCCTTCTCTCTCTTGCAGTCTCAGCAGAAATGCATTATGATCTTTGCCTTGGTGTGCTGCTTCGCCATACTGATGGCATTGATTTTCTCAGCTGTGGACATTTGGGGCGATGAAGACGGGATCACAGAGGAGAACTGTAGCAAGAACTGCAGGTGAGAACTGCAGAACCACAAACACACAATACATTGTCAGTGGTTCCCAATGTGTTTTGGCTTGAGCCCCCTCCTGACAAGTTCTGGCCTTAGTTAAAACAATGCAAAGGGCTGCATTGGTGGGGTTGTGTTGCTTCATGGACCAGTGGAATGAAATTCAATTTGATTTTAATTAATTGACTTATCAGAAACATATATAACAGGTCATGCACTGTGACAAATACATATGCTTTGAAAATGTCAAGGATCACAATAAAGTTAAAGAAAAACTTATTTTCATTCTGGTTCTCTAATCTACAAAGTCCGGTTTGAGAAACAGATCAGTGATTTTGCCTCATTGGCACCTTTTTTTCTCCATACATCCAATTGTGTCTATATTGTTTTGTGCCAATGATGCTAATTATTTATGAGAAGTTTACTACATAAGAGTAGGATATGAAAGTCACGTCAGCCACAGTATATAATAAATTACAGTCAGTTTATGTTTATGCTCATTCAACTTTATTCAAAACTATCTGCTTCCAAGGAGTCATACTGTGTCCGAGAAACAACTGAGGGTTTCATTATTTTAAGGAGCTACAATGTGTACAGCAAAACATTAGAACAAAAAACAAATGCATTGTAATAAAAATATCTTTTGAGATTATGGTTGACATGAATTGGGACGTTATAACTGGTCACTAACTCTACGGGCTTCCATAGTTAGAAACTCTGATTGTTTTAGCTCATGTTGAAATCTAGCAGGTCTAACTCACTGGCACACGATATAAACTGCAGTGTAGAGGCTGCTGACCCCATGGCATTGCTTGCATTATTCCCTCAACCTGATCCTATTGTGTTCTTCCCCACTGAAATGATTACCAGGCTCTTCTGAAAGTTACTTTATACTAGACTTTAGCACATTTCTACAGTCTGTTTAAGTTTTAAGAATATGACAAAAATCCTGAAAACATTATGTCCTTGTGGTCCAGAGTGAAACTGGCTGATACAGCAGTCCCTGTTCTCTCTGCTCTCCACTTCCTACTGGTTCCCCTTCATTAGACTCGTATCATGAAATTTACCATTCAGCCTTGAATCACTTCCCTCTCTCTGGCTGTGTCATCTACTCTCTCTCTCTCCTCTTCCCCAAATCAGCCATTACAGACCTTAAAGACAACTCTAATTGGCACTCCCTCTTCCACTCAAGGCTGAAAGTGTAATTCCAACTTGTAAAGCTTAATTGGACTTTTCCCCTGCTCTGACGGACCCCTAAATCTTAGGGGTAGAATGAGAGATAAATACGAGGCTGAGGCAGGGATGATTGGAAGTGAGGGTGAACCAGATGGAGCGAGAGGAAGAAGATGATATCAGGGTAGATTTGGAGTTGGAATGAGTGAGCGATGAATAGATTCATCAGCTGTTATCGGCTTGCTGTCTGTGATGACGGGGTGGGGGCTTGCAGTTCAAGACTTAATTCCCAACAAATTTCAGAAATGTGTGCTGTCATTTTTATTCAGATCCCATAAGCCTAATGATGCAGTTTTACTGTGATATGAATAATTTAAAAGACCTATGAGGTGTGCAAGTGTAGCATAATTCATGATTTCATAAAGTATTTTGCTCAAAGCAAGTTGCAGTGCAAAATAGGAAAAGTGATAGATTACTGAGACTGACATATTTCTAATGAGGTGCACTGAGGCTTGCTCATGCTCACATAACTTTCTAAAGGTGCTTGTAATTCATCAGAGAAAATGTATGTAAAGGTCATTTTTTACACCAAGAGTGTTCACTGGAAAATGATCCAGTAATTAACTTACAAATGAAATCCAGGACTACTGAATAATCTAAATACAGAAGACTGATCTGCCTTTTTGCCTTGGTGTGCAGCCATTAGTCTCCTTACACAGAAAAAAAACCTCTTAGCTGCTTTTTTGTTTGTGATGTTGTAATTTAGCCATGTCACACACAGCTGGTTGTATATTATATATTAACTCTTTTTGCCTGAATAATGCTAATTCTTTCATCAAAGGGACAGGAGTCCTGAGATGGGCTGCTGCTACTGTGTGTCTGTGGGAGGAAAAAACAGTCCCGCTAATGCAGGCAGTTGCTCCATGTATTTGTCTGACAGTACAAACACATAATTAATTTGATTATCTGATTGTATCCAAATGACTGCAGTCTAATGTATCTCTGATGTACAGCTGTTAATTGCCTGGTATCAGACAGCTGACAAACAGCTTAGTATTGATCTACAGTTTCCCTAGGGAAGGGCAGAAACAATACTTGGAGAACCAGACTTGTCGCTTCCCCAACTTTGTTTAGCTTTAAGCACCACCTGAACAGTCGGCTGCTGAAGCATACAACATTTAAAAATATTTTTGAGAGCAAACGTTCCTTCCTTCCATTAGGTTTTAAAAATCGGTTCCTGCACTTTAGGGCTGTCACTTTTTCAAAAAGTTGAGTTCAGAAACAAAATCAGAAACAGAATCAGATTTATTTGCCAGGTATGTGTGCACATACGAGGAATTTTGACTCAGGATTGTACACGGCTCACGATGTGCTGACTCATACAATAATACAATAACACAATGATAAAATCAGACTGTTAGGAATGTGGTTTTGTGGTCTGTTTTTGGTTCTGTGTTTCTCTGTGTAGTCTTGTTTAGTTAGTCCTTTAGTGTTTACTCCTGGTCTTGTATTCTCTGTTTATCTTTGTGTATTCCATTGTTCATTTACTGGTTCTGTTCAGCTCTCTTTGTACCAGTCTGTCATGTGTTATAGATTGTTCCCTGCATCTTAGCTCCTGCATCTCACCCCTGTGTCTTAGCTCCTAGTTTCATGTCTTAGTGTTTACTTCTGGTCTGTGTTCTTATGTGTTATTTTGCCCATGTCTAATCTGAGTTTTGTTTTGTGCTTGCTTCAGCCTGTGGTCCTTGTTGTTAATGTATGGTGTTTTGCATCTGTAAGTGTCTCTCTGTTCCCCCCTGCTGTCTCTCTGCCTACCTTGTTAGCCCTGATCCCGTTCACCTGTGTTGCTCCCGCCCCGCTCGTTAGTCCGTGTGTGTATATGCCTGCTCTTGTCTTCAGTTTTGGTCACATCACACACAAAAACAAAACAATATAGACAGATTGAGACAATAGCAGAGTGAAAAGGATGAGAAATTCTTATTATTATTATTATTATGTACATGTTGGAGGTGGATGTGATATACAGGTACACATACATATACACGTATACATGTACACAGTGCGATACCATAGTGCAAAGGATGCTGGAATAAATAATGTATTTGAGGTAGGTGGATTTGGTATGCAGAATCAGAAGGAGCTTTATTGCCAAGTAGTGTTTTACACATACAAGGAATTTGCTTTGGTGTTAAGGTGCTACACGCAGACAGACATACAGCTGACATAAATAGATGTAGAAATATATAAATATGTAATAAACAAATGCAAGTTATATAAGAATAACAGAAGAATAGAGAAAAATAAATCCTGGAATACTGAAGTGATGGAAGATTGAGTGCAGAGCGAATGATACGCTGCAGTCTGCCCTTGTCCCTGGCAGTGGCAGCAGCGTACCAGATGGAGATGGAGGAGGTGAGGATGGACTCGATGATGGCGGTGTAGAAGTGCACCATCGTTGTCTTTGGCAGGCTGAACTTCTACAGCTGCTGCAGGAAGTACATCCTCTGCTGGGCCTTCTTTGTGAGGGAGGTGATGTTCAGCTCCCACTTGAGACCATCATTTCGATGGTGCCCAGGAAGTGGAAGGAGTCCACAGTGGCGACGGGGGAGTCACTCAGGATTATGGGTGAGGGTGTGGCTGGGCTCTTCCTGAAGTCCACGACCATCTCCGCTGTCTTCAGAGCGTTGAGCTCCAGACTGTTCTGGCCGCACCATCTGGTGACCAGATGGTCAATCTCCCACCTGTAGGCAGACTCATCCCCACAAGAGATGAGCCCAATGAGGGTGGTGTTGTCCGCAAACTTCAGGAGCTTGACAGACTGGTGTCTGGAGGTGCAGGTGTTGATATGCAGGGAGAAGAGCAGAGTGGAAAGAATGCAGCCTTGAGGGGAACCGGTGCTGATGGTCCTGGAGTCAGAGACATGTTTTCCCATCTTCACGTGCGGCTTCCTGTCTGTCAGGAAGTCTGTGATCCACCTGCAGGTGGAGTCAGGCACGTTCAGCTGAGAGAGCTTGTCCTGCAGCAGGGCCGGGATGATGGTATTGAAAGCACAGCTGAAGTCCACAAACAGAATTCTGGTGTAGGTTCCTGGGGAGTCCAGGTGCTGGAGGATGTAGGGCGATGTTTACTGCGGCGAGCTGCAGGGGGCTGCAGGGGGTCCAGGAGTGGGTCTGTGATTGATTTAAGGTGGGACAACACAAGGCGCTCAAAAGACTTTACCACAGAGGTCAGGGCAACGGGTCTATAGTGATTTAGTCCCATGGTCCTTGGTTTTTTGGGGACAGGGTTGATGGTGGAGGCTTTGAAGCAGGCTGGCACATGGCATGACTCTAGTGAGGTGTTAAAAATGTCTGTAAATACCAGAGACAGCTGATCAGCACAGTGCTTCAGTGTGGATGGGGAGACACAGTCCGGCCACGCTGCTTTGCGAGGTTTCTGCCTCCTGAACAGTCTGACGTCACTCTCTAGGATGGTAAGAGAGGGGGAAGAGGTGGGGGATGAGATGGTGGACTGTGGCTGGTCAGTGGTGTGATGGGGGATGGTGTCAGGTCTGTCCTATTGTCTTTCAAAGCGACAGTAAATCTGGTTTAGCTCGTTGGCAATGCATGAGTCGTTCAAGGAATGGGGGGATTTAGGTTTGTAGCTGGTGATCTGTCTGAATCCTCTCCAGACAGAAGCAGTATATACAATATGAAAATATAACAATATGAACAGTATGAACAGCTCTGAAATAGAAAATGATGAATAAATAATAGCGGTAACCTGTAAACAGGTGGCTGATTAGAGACAGAGTTACTGGGTTATTGCACAGGAATTCTTCCTGACACTGTGAGTCAGAAATCAGCTGTTCATCAGAGTGATTGCTTGTGGGAAGAAACTGCTTCTGTGTCTGTTGGTTTTGGCGTACAGTGCTCTGTAGCGCCTACCAGAGGAGAGAAGCTGGAACAGGTTGTGTCCGGGGTGAGATGGATCTGCAGTGATGTTTCCTGTCTGTTTCCTGAGTCTGGAAATGTATATTATGAGCTGGCGCAGGACGTACATCCTCTGCTAGGCCTTCTTGATGATGGTGTCAGTGTTGGGCTCCCACTTTAGGTCTTGGGACATAGTGGATCCCAGAAACCTGAAGAATTCCCCAGCAGACACAGGACTGTTGAGTATGGTGATTGGGGGGCAGAGTAGGGGGGCTCCTCCTAAAGTCCACAATCATCTCCACAGTTTTGAGCGTGTTAAGCTCTAGATTGTTCTGACGGCACCAGAGAGCCAGCTGATCAACCTCCCGTCTGTAGGTCGACTCGTCACCGTCCCGGATGAGGCCGATGACCGCTGTGTCGTCAGCAAACTTCAGGAGTTTGACAGATGGGTCTCCTGAGGTGCAGTCATTGGTGTTGAGGGAGAAGAGCAGTTTTCAGGCAGGATGGTGACACACCGTCTGAGCCAGGAGCCTTCCTGATCTTCTGCCTCTGGAAAAGCTGGCGTAAAGTCACGTATTAGCAGGCTAATGTTAGCTTTGTCAGTACATCTAGCTAGTTCCATTTAATAGTTGGCAGTTAACTTGGTCAGTAAACTAATCTCCACTTTGTAAACGCCTACATTATAACTAGACTAAACTTGCCAGGACACAAGTGCAGAGAACACACCACTGGTGCAATTTTGAACATCAAAAACCTCATATAGATCAGTGCTTAAGCCAACACAAAACAAGGACAGCTACTGCCAGAATAGGCAGAGAAAAAGAACTAAACAAGCCACAGAAATTAGGCTACTGAACTAACCAAATAACTCTGGACTGGAGTGAAAGTAGCTTGGCATTGACAGCTCAGCTACCGGTATCTGGAAAAACAATGTGTCCAGTATAGTCTGTAGTGAGCTAAACAGGTCTGGCACAGGATGAGGCTGATTAGTCAAGGCAAACTATTGGCCATCACTCAAAATGTCAGGGAACACACAGGACAGCTGTCGACACAGATATGGGACAATGTATTCAACAAAGTACATGCATTCTACATTCATTTTCACAAAACACAGAGGTTCTTTTTAAAATAAATATAATATATTATAATAATATATAATTTTTTTTTTTACCATGGCAACATTGTTTTGGTTGTACTTGATAAAACATTGGACATTTAGCTTTAAAACAAACAGCATGCAGGGAGCTGAACAGCAGCAGCTCCTGTGATACCCATATTAATGTCCTTGCTGCTGTGCACCCAGAGTTCAGCGCAGCTCATGAGGGGAGTGGATAATTTATATCAGATGTCAGGTGCTGACTCTGGCACACTGGGATTTTTCAGCATAATCCCATGTTGTTACTCTAAGCGTACGCACAGACGCGCACAAACAATATCACAAGCTTTTGCATGTAACTGCCACTATTACATCCATTACTTAACACGCTGGATCATTTCTGCTGTTTGTTTAGCATGTAAACTGCTCTGTGTTAGTGTGAAATATGTTCTTGTGTTCTGTTTTTTGTAATGAAGGAGAGTTCTTCATTTTTAAGATAATGAATCTGAGATCCAACAGTGTTCAACAACCACAGAGCGAAGATGGTAACCCATTATCATTCAGAGAGTGAGGGACTTTATATTCAGACACACTCTTTCTCTTTCTTTCTGTCTCTCTTGTTGTCTCATGTATGCACAAACACATACACCGTAAAATTTACACCACTTATTTATTATTGGCAGCTGGGGCCGAATCACACTCATTAGTGCACAGATGAGTTACAATGGAGGAGACCAGCAGTGAACACCACAGGCTGCATAAATCAGCTGCCTCCCTGCTTCTCCACTTTTAATACCAAAGCCTGCCTGGCTGTTTAAACGACTCAGAATCACCATTCATCATACCTCACAGCCATTAGAGTGGACTGAGAGGATTTCTTTCAGAATAAGATTACCTCTCCTCCTCTTCCATCTGTTTTCCATCCATGCTTGTTTCTTCTCATTGTGAGGTGTTTACTGTAGCTGGCCTAGTTTTTGCTGTTATTTCAGAACAAAGAAGGAGACTCTACGATGGGTGATATAAACGTTAGTCTTCTCTATAATTGTCCACAGCGTCATTGTGCCTTTTGACTTCAGTGTTCAGTCCTTAAACTCTGTGTCTGACAAATGAAAGAATATCCGCCGAAATGAAACCCTCAGTAACATATGATTCAACTTTACATGTGATTCTCCCAAACTCTGCTTCACTAAACATGTTGATTGTCATTTCCATGAGGAGGAATCAGCATGTTGTGATTACAGAGGGTGTGAGTCCTACAGCTTGACCCTTGGCCATGTACCAAAACCTGACTTAGCTTTACTTTAGCCAGGAATACATTTTCAAGCTGTGAGCTGGCAACTGGCCTCTAAATGTGATACCAGTGCATTATCACCTGCAGCACAGTGTTTCACCAGTGTGCCTCACCAGTGTGCCCTTGAGTGAAACACTCACTAGACCCTGAGCTGTCACACTTTGTGCTGACACTGTGCTCTGACTGGTTTGAGTGCTAAGACCTATCACAGATTCCTAACCAGGGAGCCCGCCAGCACAGACTCCACAGTATTTTATGGCCAGAAATGTTTTCCAATACAAGCTAATAAAATAGTCCACAACTGATAAAGCTGTTCTTTTTTGGTTTAGGCTGAATTATTCTGATGACTAATTATTGAGAGATTAAATAAATCACCTTTTTCTTTTACCATGTTTTATAGGTTTTATCAGGTTTGCAGCACACATCTTATTCATGTGACCAATCAGCAAAATGAATAGCACATTCACTCATGATGACTTCCCGTCCATGTCTGCACTGACAAATTAATAGTTGTGCTTGTCATTTAACAAGATTCTTAAATTAGAAGACTGTGGTTTAAAGACATTATTTCACATATTCCCTGCTTCACGTTTGCAATGCACACTTTCAAAATACCTTAGTTATGAGCACAGTACAGACGGTTTGCCATACTATGGGCACCTCCATGTTCTTTCTATTGAGCCACTAAACTGCAGTATTCAACATTTCTTAAAAAATGCATTCCCTCACATGGAATTGAGTACATTCTCTCTAGTTTCTTGGACAGCATTTTATCCAGAGACTTAATCTACCATGGAGGTGCAACAGAATTTATATCTGTGTTGCTGTTCACCCTCACTGAACACCCTCTCCTCTCTTAAAATCCAATTGTCAGAAATCGATGTTGAAGCCAGATACAGACTGAATGTGGTGAGCGTTGGAGCTTGGTAATAGCCTGGTTCTGAATGGCTGCAGATCTAGGCCTGCCAGGGCTAATTCAATCTGTTGTTTCCAATGCTAATGCCTCTGTCATTTTCAGGCCTCCTGGTAGGTTAAAATGGGAAGTGGAGATACATGAGGGAGAGCTCACAGTCATGGTAGCCAGTTAACTTGACATTACACCCTGGCAGAAAGTGCAGGGATATTCACAGTGATATCTACAACCATTGTAGTGCAAAACAAGTATCACTGATGACATTTTCCCCATCACTGGACAGTTTAAGTGACTGCTCTGAATCTTAAGCAGATATGCTATCCTGTACTTCATGCAATCCACTGAATCTGACATATAGTTGATTGGGATTGCCTCTATATATGATTTCATTCTATGCTAATCGCAGCAAATACAGTAAATTACCCCAGACTGCTGATGATTACATTAAAATGCTCCATGTGATAGTGTAGTGTATGAGAAACCGACGAGAATATATCCAAAATGACTCACTTTTCGCCGAGTAGGTGTAATTTAATCTGCATTGCTGACAACTCTGCACATCAGCCTTCAATTATTCTCAGACCCTGCCGGAGGCAACCTGTACAAAACCTAATGATACTTAATGGAATCTATGTGGTCTAGAAATCTTGATAACTCTCATTAAGCTAACGAGAAAGAGGAAGAAAGGCGCTGTTAGCTAATTTGTCAAAAGAAAGAAGGAATATAACCTTGTGTCAGTGGCACCCAAGCTTATAAGAACTCCACTAATGCATACAGATAATTGCTTTGTGAAAGACCATGAACATCACATTCATTTCTTTTGCATTTTTCCATTAACAGGTCTCTATGGCTCAGCATAATAATGCCTTCATTGGTTTTTTAAATGCAGGTCTCTTACATCATTATGTTTCTTCTTTACTCCAGAGCAGTGCTTGTGGAAAACATCCCAGAAGACATCTCCTTCCTAGACAATACTACATCCCACCTTCCTCTCTCAGTGGGGCTGTACAACTTACTGGACCAAGCCATCCGGGTCGTAGAGATAGTTTCCCCGCTGTGGGTTCTCAACTCTTCAGATTATGAATCCAGCTTCCAGCCTGCAGCCAGACAGGTAAAACCAGAGCAAGCAAACAGAGATTTGTCTCATCAGAGTGTGGCACTTATTCAAATGTTGTGTATTTACCTTTTCTCTGTCTCCACTTCTGTGTCTTTTTGTCTGAATTGGCCTCTTTGCCTCCTCTACATAATAATCAGTGGTAAAAAAAAAAAATAAATGTATCAGTCTTTACTTAATTAAGTAAAGAAAAGTAAGTACTTAAGTACTAATACAACAATGTATAAACACTTAATTGCAAGAAAAGGTACTGCATTTTGTGTAGTAAAAGTGCATTGTAAAAATATTACAAGCAAAATGGTATGAAAGCATCAAATTAAATGTACTTGCCCATAAGTGACAGTAAAGTGATATTATTATTATTATCATAAGCCATTATTAGATTTGTTACAACCCAGCTCGTTAGGGTAGGGCCGTAACAAGGTATGTGGGTTAAATTAAGGAGGTAAGGACAACTGAATTCAGGTTGAGTCAAAGTTTAATTAAATGAGTTGTCTCCAAAAAAACACAACAAAAGGAGGCTATGTAGGTACTGACAAAAAAAACACTTAACAAAAGGAGATCAGTACCTACATGCTGTACAGGAATGTAGTGTAACCAAACAAACAATTTTCCCCCTTAAAGAGTGCCACTCACACTCTAGTTCACAAAGGTTTTTACTGACAAGAGTCACTTAAGCCTGCAACCAACAAACAGATCAGATTTAAACACTCAAGACATTCACAGGGGTACACAACCACCAACAAGGAGAACTGATCACTGGCTCACAGTCGCCTCGAACTGCAGGAACACAAACTATTTGTAGGCCAGCTGGTGTTGATTGGTGAGTTCTGGTTGGCAGGTTCGGTAGGATCCTCGACCACACCAATCAGACGCCAGCAAACAGCAACCAGGAAGTGGGTGGTTCCAGGTCCAGGGAACCAATCCTCGACAGGTGCTTGCCGTGGGGATTTGCATACAGCTCAGAGAACTCCAAAACACAACTACTCTAAGGCAGCCAGCGGCGGCCGTAACAGATTATTAATGATGCATCAAGCAGAAGCAGCATTTTACTGTTGTAGCTGCTAGTTCAAACTATTATACAGTCAAATATTTTTTCCAGTGGTCCGTTACATTGTGGAGATGATTTATGGTGTCAACCGCGCTGCATTATGGTTTTGATTAAAAAAAAAGCTGTCAAAAATTAAATGAAGAGGTCAAAAGCACAATTGTAGAATAGAAGTATAGAGTAGAAGTAAAAAGTAGCATAAAATGGACACATGCAAGTAAACGTACCTGAACATACACTTGAGTAAATGTACTTAGTAACTTTCCACTGGTGATAATAATACATGTAATGTGTGACAGAAAGGTCGATGTGATTTGCATTATTTGCATTAGCTGTCCAATTGACAGCTCATCTGCCATATCATCTGATTTTATCCACATCCCCAAGTGATTAAGCAGACGACAGCTCATACATGTCATGTTTATCATATCCTGAAAGGATAACAAAGAAGAGTTGGTTTTCTGCTTCAGCCAAATCAGATAATAAAGTCAAAGTGGACCAAATAACAGTATGATACAAATTATCACCAGAGTGGAAAATCAATAACTGTCCTTTTAGAATTGTACTTGCTAGTAAAATACTTACTATTTTCAGGCTGCTTAAAGTGAACTATTCATTTTAGGATTTGAACTGGATGTGTGTTATTGAAAATTGCCTGGAGGTTTTCTAAACTGTTCAAACACACACTCACAGACATAGGAGGGAAGCTGGACTGGAAAAATCAATAAACTTTAAAGACAAAGTTACAAAAGGTGGATGTGGAGATGCTCTTGATGCTCATAACTCAATTCTGTGACAAGTTTAGTTGTGGTTAACTTTTTCTCACATACAATGTTTAAAAAAGGCAACATCAGCTGTATTGCCTCAAATCATAAAAAATGGAAGGTATTCAAGGCATTCAACCGTTTGCTGAACTGTGCAAGTTGATGAGCTTCCTTCCCATGTCAATGCTACATTAATGATGATGTGGTTGCTAATTATCTGCAAAGTCATGAAATGGTGTGTTCAGCGTCACTCCACTCAGACTTCTTTGACTAATCTCTAATTTGCAAGGTTTTCTGCCTAAAAGCCTAAATGGAAACTTGCCAATGTCACCAAATGTAAGACTTTTTCTTGGAATCTCTTGGCATAGGAATGTTTGTATACCACAACATATATAAGATTATACTGCACACTTGAAAGGGGCACTTACATTTACAAAAATGTGGTTGACTTGCAAGACATACTTTTAAAGGAGAATCCAATACTTTGTCATTCTCCCTCCAGCATCACAGAAAATATTATAAAACTGTTTCCCAGGCAGAAGTAGTGCTGATCGAATGCTAAATCGAACTTGATGTGGAACATCGGTGGAGTGCCCATTTATTCAAATTTCTGTATTAAAAGAGCTGTGAAAGTCATGCTATAAAATCTAAATGTGTAAATGTGTTATGAAACAACAAAATTCCCAACGTCAACACTGTTTCCTCTGGCAGGTTTGGTGTAAAACAATCAATACTGATGAAACAAAATATTAGATGCAAAATATTAGACACATCTTCCGGATTTTGAAATGAAGCCCATTTGATCAAATTCACATCTCACTTGTCTCAGTCATTCTCTAACTCTCCTTCTGTTCATCTGCAGCTCATCTGTTATTGGTATGCATTTACGATAAATCAATAAGGGATGCTGGGATGGGGTTTACCTCTGCTGAGGTTGAAGAGAGCCACTTACATATTGTGTGTATCAAATTGGATACTTCAAATGAGCAGGAGTAACTATTTCGACTGAGCAAACAAAGAAAATATTAATATTTAAAAACAAAAAAGAAACTTGGCATCACAGTGGCTGGCAGCAGACAAAGGACCTCTGGGAAATGTAGCACAAAAATACCATATAACATAAGCTGCTAATGGTGCCAAAATATTACGAGACAATCTAAGCAATTCACAAGAACTATGTCTGAATATAAAGTACATGAATTTTATGTGACAGCAGAGTTTTACGATGTGTTTCCCTCAGGGCAGGGCACTGCTGTCCAGGCTGCAGGGGCTGAAAGCTAAAGGAATCCAGCTAAAGATCTCCAGCGGGATGATTGACTCGACTGAGCTCAGGACGCTCGCCAGACACAGTCAGCTCTCACTCTCACTGTATTATAAATTCTGTGTCTGTGTTCAAACATGCTGCAGCTAAGCTCTGTCTGTTTAGTCTGTTGACTGTTCTCTCCCCCTATTTGTGCTGCTCAGTCCTTTCAATCTCTCACTCTCTTTCCATCTTTCCCTTTATCTGTCTTTGTGTTTCATGTTCTTGTTGTTCATGTTTCTGTCTGTGGCCAGATCTCTCTTTATCCTTCTCCTTGTCTCACATGCGCTTTCTTTATTTCTGTCTTTCTTTTTCTTGCTGGTTTTTGTGTTTTACTCAGTCCCTGTTTCTGTTTCTCTCTCTCTCATTCTCCATTTCTAGATGCTGAGGTCCACTATGTGAACATGACAGCGCTGACCCAAGGCCACCTCCTCTCCTCCTTCTGGGTGGTCGACAAGAGACATTTCTACATCGGCAGCGGCAGCATGGACTGGAGATCTCTGGCCACAGTATCTACAATCCACTACGCATCACAGCGCACACAGAAACACATATCCATATGTAAACATAGGCATACTCAATTTGCACACAAAAACAGGGGATGTGGCAGAGACATTTGAGAAAATGTAACATCATGATCCCAGTCCTGCAAATTCTGAAGCAGCAGTGTAACACAAATTATGCAAATGTGACCCTCTGTTGTAATTTTGATAATCAACTTTGATAATGTTCTACTGACTCAGAAAGACTCTTACTTTACTCTTGAAAGAAACTGAAATGAAAAACATCTGAAATAACTTGCAGTAGTATCATGGCCACTGGTCATTTATTACCACAGGGTAATACATAAGTCCTTTGCTTTGAATAATTACCTAAATGTATGTTTACAGGTGCCCTAAAGGTTGCATTTTTGGATTTTTTTATTCAGTTGATATATTTACTGACACATACTAAATATGAACACTTGCACAAATGTTATAAGTTATGAACCCTATTGAAACACATTTGAAGATATAGTGATATATCTTATACTATATGATAGTGATGATTATATATGTGCTTAACTAATATGTCTTCTTCAAAAAGTTGTAGATGGGGGGTAAGGGCTGATTTGGGCAGTTTGGTTTGATTTGGTTTGGTTTGGTTGGTATTGGGGTATGTAAGGTGGGGTGGCATCCAAAAATAGACGGTGGCTATTCTTTCATCTTCATCTTCAAAGCTGAATTTCTTGCATGGTTCATTAAAGTGCAGATCCATTTGTTAGGCAGCTTCATCTATCTTTAGACACCCAGAGATACAAAGGGCCTTGATTTAGGAAGATGAATTGCAAGCAGTTCAACCAATGCATCCTGTCGTGAATTCTTAAAATTCGTTAATAATTCAATTTATACATCTGAAGTCATATATTCACAATTCAGTTTGAGCTGTTGAAAAAATGTACATGGCAAGTCAAATTATATGTATTTTATTTTGTGCATATTGGTGTGTTTTGAAGGACACAGACTACGCTGAAAATAAGATTAAAATACTCGGGATCTAGGCTTCATTTAAGTATACATTGCTCATGTAAATAATGCAGGGGGGGAAATGAATATGTGGAGTGAAACAGAGAAAGAGTGGGCCATTTAGAAGGTACAGTCTGGGAACCTGACTCTTTGAGGAAAGTGCCTCTTTGAAATGATAATGCAGCAGAGAGCAAAGATAGAATATTATTGAGAGAGAGAGGGGGACCAATGTAATGTCTTCTCATGCCCTACTGTTGCTGTGACAATGGCCGAAGATCTGTAACTGGATGAAAACTTGGCCTGACAAGGGGAAGATGTACGCTGAGTGTAGGTAGACGGATGTATAAAAGTGTTGAAAGAGTAAAAAACAAACAGGTTAAGATTAATTAAAAAGGAAATCTGACTGACAGCAGTTTTGTTGATGATCTTGGAAGTAATGACGATGATATGCAGGAGAGTGACAGAAATATTGATGTAAATGTTTCAATGTTTATGGTGATGCTGATGAGATTTGTTTGTTCTCCAGAGGAAGGAGCTGGGTGTGTTGGTGTACAACTGCAGCTGTCTGGCTCTGGACCTCCACAGAGTGTTCAGCCTCTACTGGGGGCTCCAGTATAAAGACTTCATCCCCTCATTCTGGTCCAAGCGTGTCTTTGCCCTCTTCAACAGGGACACACCACTGGAGCTCACTCTCAACAGCACAAAGGCTGAGGCTTACGTTTCTGTAAGTGACTATTATTGCATTTGTTTGTCTTGTATATTTGCCCAGGGAAACTCTTGTTTTTTCAATCATTTCAATGTGGCGATTTCTGGTAGATACTTAAAGGACAAGGTTAACATGCCAACCCATAATTTAGGAGGCATTTTGTATTGATGGCACTAGTAAAGGGGAAGGTTGTATGAAGAGTTAAATTCCAAGAGCCTAAAATCTATTTAGATTAATGCTTGCAGTAAAGTTACCATTTAAAACATTGGACATCTGTCAATTTTTTACTATCATCATCAACCGATGGTTAGTATTTGTTGTCTAAAGTTATTATTTAGGCTCACATACCTTAGATAATAGCATTCCATTTCCTTCCATTACTCACACTCAAAATTACTTTACATAATTGATGGTTCAAACGATGGACAGACTATTAAAAAATGAGCTTCAGTGTTTGGTTCAATTTGCCGGTTGGGATTTTGGGACAAGTCTATATTTCAGTTGTGGAGAACATTCAGTCTATTTTCACCACATCAGCATCTTAATTCAGGAAAAGCCCAAGCATAATTATGAACATAAGTAACTGCTGCATCCTATTTAGGAGTTCAATTAAATTGAAAAAAAATACATATATATACATAGCACAAATTCATAACAGAAGTTTTCATTGCACTTTTCAGATACAGCAGGTCTAGATCAAACTCTTTTCAATAATATTAACAGAGACCCAACAATTCTCACAATGAGCAAGCACTTGGCATAGTGAAAACAAAATACTCCCTTTTAAAAGGCAGAAACCTCGAGCAGAACCTGGACTCAGGATGGGCGGCCAATTGCCTTGTTGGATTGAGAGAGAGGGAGAGAGGGTGAGATCATGTTCCACATAAATTTTTGACAGCGGACATTTTGATATGTCAAAGCAGAAAAAGCTCATGTGTAATTAAAAACATTAATAACGACTGCATGCCATTTAGATGAGCTAGTTTCATTGCTTTACTATTGTGTACACTGGCTCACTAGCATGGCTCACTGGTAGGCCTACACCTTAGGGAACAGTGCCATCAATATTGAAATTTGTTTCAACTGTGCGTTACAAGTTAAAATTTCTGCTATGAAGAAGGTTTATTGTGCATGATGGCAAAGCTGTGTCTGAAATCACTTGTGCACTATTACCTATATAACAACCCCAGTCTCACTTCCATTGTGTTACAAATTGCATTGTGGGATTGTTAGCAGAAAGTAGTGAGCATGTCATGGACATTTTTTTTTATATTATGTCATGTGAATGGCTGAGGGCACTTAATAGTGGATAGATTTGCTGTGAAAATACAGTTCTCTATTCCTCACACCGTCCAAAGACATGCAGACTAGGACTTAAATTGTCCTTAGGTGTGAGTGTTAGTGTGACTGGTTGTTTGTCTATGTGTGGCCCTGCGATGGATTGGCGACCTGTCCAGGGTGTACCCCGCCTTTCGCCCAATGTCAGCTGGGATTAGCTCCAGCCCCCCGTGACCCTGTACACAGGATAAGCAGTTGACGATGGATGGATGGATGGATAGATGATTGATTAGACATCAGCTCAGGTTGGGGTTGGGCGGGGCTATGCTGGGAATTATGTAGGGTCACCAATAAGAATAATAAAGGTAATCTAAAATAATAGTGTCTCTGCAGGACTCCTGTGACTTTCTGTGTCATCTTCTTCCTGAAGACATGCACACAGACATAAAACAAAGGAAGATAATCAAATCCTAATGGTCATTTAGGTGAACAATAATGATGATGAGAGCTGAGTTCGTTGTTATGATGATAACAGTGTTATCGATCATGATGGTAATTTTGCAAGTTAAGATTCCTTTCTGAGTCACTGCGGTATTAAAAATCTGTTTAGACAATGCCCTGACCATCTTTCATGGGTGTTTCTTCAGAGAGGAGTACACAGCTACTGGTTGTGCACCCTCTCATCACCCGAACACCAGCTATCACAAATTGTCTTTGCCGTCTTTCCTCCTCTGATGACAGAGCTCCCCAGATGTTTTCATCCCCAAACATCGCAGCAATGACCTTGAAGCCATTTCCAGGGTAATCCAGGAGGCCCACCACTTCATTTATATCTCCATCATCGACTACCTGCCCCTCCTCAGCAGCAACGCTCACAGGTTAGGACAACTGCGCCACTGTTGGAGTTGCTTTGGGATGAATTGACAGGAATTTATCAAACGCTTGGATGCCTTGCTTTGATTTAAGTGATTAAACTCCATGCGTGTCCATCTGGCAGTGTGCCCACATTTGTGCTTGTGTTTGTAACTGTGCCAAGGTACTGGTCTCGTATCGACAGTCTTATCAGGGAGGCCCTGATCCTGAGAAAGGTCCGGGTTCGTCTGCTGATAAGTTGCTGGGAAAAGACTCATCCACTTACTTTCAACTTCATGTGGTCCCTGAAGAGTCTGTGCATGGAGCAGGCCAACTGCTCACTGGAGGCTGTAAGTACAAGGCCACTATGTACTACTCTATGTTCAAATCTACAGATACCCTTTATGGTGGCGCAGTGGTTAGCACTGTCACCTCACAGGGTGTTTGCATGTTCTGCGTGGGTTCTCTCTTCCTCCCACTGTCCAAAGACATTGGTAATCCTAAATTGTCCTTAGGTGAGAGCGTAAGTGGTTGTCTGTCTATGTGTGGCCCTGCGATGGATTGGCGACCTGTCCAGGGTGTACCCCGCCTATCGCCCGATGTCAGCTGGGATTGGCTCCAACCTCCCTGTACACAGGATAAGCGGTTGACAATGGATGGATGGAGATACACTTTATCACTGCTTAATGTGCCACTGTGTCTGTGTGTGTAGAAGTTCTTCAACCCCAGGGTGCTAAGGGACGGCAGTCTCCAGGGAATAAACCACAACAGGTTTATGGTGACAGACAGAGCCATTTATTTAGGTAAGCTCATTAACTAGACTTTATGACCCTGTCCTATATGCCTCTGTTTACTTCCTACAGATCTCATTTCCGGTTGGCCTAAAAGAAAAGTTCAGCATTTTTGGAAGTACTATTATTTGTTTTCTTTCTGAGAGTGACTTGAGAGGATCGATACCACTCTTGCATTAAGTAGGGAGCTAGAGCCAAGAGGAAACTAGCCTATTTTAGAATGAAGACTGGAAGCAAGGGGTAAACAGTGCAGCTTTCTCCAAAGGTCAAAAATACACCTCAAATGATGTGAGGTATCTCATTTGTTTAATCCCAACACAATCAAAAATGTAAGCAATTAGTGGTTTTAGAGGGAATTACATGGCACAACTATTTATTGACAAATAACAATTTATACATCCGCCCAGCACTCCAGGAATAAACGCACCGCTGTTGTTCATAAAGGAATAGTCATAGCACTTGTAATTGTTGCTTTTACATTACTGCTTGTGTACAGATAAATCAAACAAGAAACAACTTATTAATTAGTGAGCTTTATAAGTACTAATATTCATTTTTTGAAGTTTAGAAAGAGCCATTCTAGCTGTTTCCCCTGTCTTCCAGTCTTTATGCTGAGCTAAGCGAATCACCTCCCAGCTCCAATTCTGTACTCAAAGGTGGTATTGATCCTCTCATCATCTTCTCATCATGTAACTCTCAGGAAAAAAGCAGAGCATTTACCAAATTGGTCATTGATCCCTATAAAAATATATATTCCCTGGAAGTTGAAAACAGGGCACTTTGTGGCACAGAATGGTCTTGATTTAGTATATTTATCCTGCTGATACTACGTGGCAAAAAACATTCTACATATTATTTCGTCATCTTGGCATGGTGTTTTTGTCATATTTGTTGTGCTGCAAGATATTTTTGACATAAAACTTTGGTCATGTATTTGCTTCTCCCTCTGTGTCCTGACAGGTAACCTTGACTGGCTGGGGAATGAGTTTAGCTTTAATGCAGGAGTGGGCCTGGTGATCAGTCAGCCAGAGGGCATTGAAGAGAGGAACTCTACAGTGGTGGAGCAGCTACGGGTTGCGTTTGAGAGGGACTGGTTTTCACGTTATGCCCGCTCACTGCAGGCCAATAAGATCCCCATCTGCAACAAGCATCACATCGACAGGCTGGTACCAGTCAAAACTAGTCACCTAGACATTGGACCAGTGCCTATCAGAACAGCCCAGCACGATAACGGACCTGCAACGATCAGAAACAGTCATAAAGAAGATGGGCAGACGGCAGTTAAAACAAGGCACCATGATGACAGACTAAGCAAAATTAGTCGCCAAGGCGTGGCCAATGGACATGTGCCGATTATAGGCAGTTACCAAGATGAGGGACGAGTCAAATTGAGTCACCTTGACAGCAGACAGGTACAAATCAAAGATCATTACCATGACAATCCAATGGATCCACCCAGTCAGTCAGCTGAGAGCAGCGGCAGCAGAGAAATCTCCAACAGGTTCCTGTGACCACAAAGCATGATAGGTTCCTTTTCACTGAATGATATTTGAAGAACTGCTGTCTTCCAGTAACAATAGACTTAACACACTGGGTCTTTGTAGCATTTTATTATTGCCATTTTGAAGAAAAGAAAACTCTGAAGATTTAAATAACATCTGGTTTGCAGGACTTGATAATGTGCGTGGAAGAACTCAGGAAGGAAAGTCGGGTACTTTTGATGGATTTTTTAAAGAATGAAACCAAAACATTTTGGGTTAGCATAAATACAGGTTAATACACTATAATGATAAATTACAATCTTGCTATTTCTGTTTTCTCTTCTTGTTGAGGTCTCTCAAGCAAAGGAAAACAAAAGAAATCTTATTGATTGTCGAATTATTGGATGTCAATTGTGTTGCTGCTGTCTGTGGCAGTCACAATTTATCACCCTTTAAAAGGGGGAATGACACCTGCATGGCTTTGCAGAGACGGGAGGCAGTGCAGCACATGTAGCTACAGTAGCAACATTTTATACTACAAATACACTCCAAAGTAGTGAAAGATTTACTACACAGCTTTTCATAGTGTGGATCTGTTACTGTAGTGGGAACCTTGGCCTCCTGGATATAGTTTTTGCATCTCTATCAGTATTCTAAATTGCTGCATTCAAATAATAACTTAACTGTACTTATTTATTAGCACTGATAACTTTCATCCCAGACAAAATAAACCTGAAACCATCAGTTAATAAACTGTTACAGTGGGTCAAGTACCACATAATTTATTCAGCTGAATCACTAGACGGGAAAACAATCAATGTTTTTCTGTTGAAATATGTTGACATTTTTGCATTTAATTTTATTGACACAAATCCATCTAAAGGGTTTTTAAATGTTTGCAATGTTGAGTCAAAATTGCTATTTTGTTCACAAAAACCCACTGAAATTGATAACCATTGTCTTTAGTCCTGTAAGAAGAAGACAACCCATAACTTATTTGGAGTGCTGACCCACAGTTGAAGAACTGCAGCTATAAAAGGATTGATCAAATCATATTTACCTTGTTTTAATCTCAATACAACAAGCACTTAACACTGTACAGAGAGTGGTTACATAATCCAGGGCAAGATGCATCGCATATCTCTCCACAGCAGGATGGTGTATATGAAAATGTTTTGGAAAATTTTATGGAGGTCACAATTGATGATGCACCAATTCTACAGTGTTTATTACATAAATGTGCAATTCGTAAATCATTCAGACGCCACCATTGAAAAATTACCACCTTCATTATTTTAAGTCGAACTGGTATTTTTTCTTGGAGGATGAGGGGCTATTGATCTGAAAGGGCCCTTATAGATCATTCCAGTTCCAATAAACAAATCAAAGGAAAAGAAGATTAATTGAATGGATTCTATAGTATTCTGCCAAATGCAATGTTGTGGCTTATTGAACAAATACTAAAGGAGCCGTTAGAAAAAGGGGCCAGAGGGTCTGTGCTGTCAAGCAAATCAATACAATGAATTTTTAACAGGGCTTGACAGTTGCTGCAGTTTAACCTCAAGGACATGGTGGTCTGTAATGTCATGCCTGAGTATATATTAGCTTTACAAAGTGGAGGTAGAGCAAAAAACACCATTGTTTGTAAAAAAAAAAAGAAAAAAAAAACTAATTTACTCTTGCCTGAAAGCTTGTAGCGACTTTCATTTGCATTTTGAAAGATTGCATGTCCGTTTAAGACCTTCATACACATGCATTGTTGGTGTATAATGTAGAAATATATTTTAGCTTCCAAAGCCATTAATCAAGGAGACAGGAAAACATTTCCAGACAGAGCCTACACAGTGATGTTTTCAACAATTTGCAGAGCGTTATGGTCAGCGCTTTAATGTGAAAGAAGCACGGGTAAATACTTTTATTCTGCTGGAAAGCCAGTTAAAGTCAGAATGTATAGAGTATAGAGCTATCCCCAGTGTTCTGTATACACACATACAGTATTTGCCCCTGCTATGTTTGTGCTACAGGTCAAATGTAAGCCACAACACAATTTCAGTTCTGCCATACAGTGTGTCACAACATGTTCCGGATATGTAGAGGAGCTTGTCAGTCAAAAGCACACCTCTGGACTATCTTAATCTGGTCATGATGGATAACTCCTGCCATCTAGAGGATGTCTTGAGAAAGAACATTTCTTCTCACTTATCTGCTGCAATATGATCTGGTCATTTTAAAAAATCAGAACAAGAATACAGCTTGGTTCACAAATACTTTTATATGTCAATTCTTATATAAATATATAAAAAGTGATTTTCCTGCCAATGATGTAACTGTAATTATTTTGATATCTAGGGGGTCAGACGACTATTCATTCTTTAAAAAAACAACACATATTGTACTCACATTATAGTATGGGAAGTTAATATGTGAAACATTAAAGTATACAACAAGAAGAATACAGAAATAACCATTACATGTTTAAACAAAAAACTAAATTTACTTGCGTGCACTGTTTGAGACACAACCATTAACTCATCCATAAACTGATTCATAACTCTTATATTCACACTAACATTTACACGAAGGAAACACAATCACTTCATCGTTTCATTTGTTTCTCCATACAGAGTGAGTAGAACTTGAAGAGCATTAACTCAATAATAATGTCCACATAATTTCTTGTAAAGCACTACGTGGCCACACTGTATTGCTTGTAATCTGACTGCTGGTTTGAAGTCAGATTCACAACTTTATGCTGCTGATATCTATGATTGTCACACTGGTGGGGCAGAACATTAACACTGCAGTCTATTTATTTTCAAACTATTTTAAATTTTAAGTCTAAAACAGTGACTACAATCCAGTTATCAGGGGCCAGGACAGCTTTAATGGCATATATTTGAGGCAGCTGCAGAGTTAAACAGAATGAGGCACTGTTACTGGTTTGATTTAAATGCTCACTGTAAAAGCTTTTCAATGTCGCCTACCTTTATTCCGTTGATTTTTTTCGGCATGACTGCTGCTTGCATGCCCTACCTAAATGAACTGTGCACAGTAGCTATAAGCCTTTTGAGAGATGGTGATACTATATTCAATCGTATATACCTTTAAAAAATACAGAAAGAATGTATATTTATTTAATACTCTTGTTAATGCACACTACTGAATGATCTGATCGCTAAGTTTTTACTCTTAATAAAAAACTCTTAGCTTTTTCTGTCTGTGTGTGTTTTAGTATAAGTGAGTGACTCTGAGTTTTGTGTGTTTGCAGTGCACTATTATCTACAGTACATCTGTGGTGGAATGTACATTTACTGAAGTATGGTAATTAGGTACAAATTTGTGGTAATTGTACCATTCTTGAGTATTTTCTTCTAATGCCAGTTTCTGCTTCTACTAAATCTCTGAGAGAAAATATTGTACTTTTTACTACTTCACTGCATTTATGTGATAGCTTTAGTTACTAGGTACTTTAGAGCTTATAAAAGATGATGCCTTGTTATAAATTAACTAATAAACCCCTAAGAAGTACAGCTGAAATGATTAGTTGATTACTCGATCAGTTGGTTGACAGAAATTTAATTGGCAACTATGTTGATAATTGTTTAATTAATTTTTCATTCAAAAATTCCAAACATTTCATTGCTTCTTAAATTTGAGCATTTGCTGCTTTTCCTTATAATAATTTTAATAATTTTAATTAGTATTTAATTATTTTCAGGTTTGGATTGTTGGTTAGACAAAACACTGTTCTGGGTAGCTGTGACAGCATTCCTCACTATTTTTAGTTTTCACAAACCAAACAATCAATTGATTATTGGGTAAATATAATCAGCAAAATAATCCATAATGAAAATAATCATTGGTTGTAGTCCTACACGAAATACCTCAACCAATTACAACAATATCCCGCTTTATATTAACGCATAAGTAATAATAATCTAATGATATAATGGGCTATGTAATAGATTGTTTTCTACATCGAGAACCTTTAGTAATAATAGGCTACTTAAGTGCATTTTTCTAATTATGCTTAAATACTTTACATCCTATATTTTTCAATGCAGGACTTGTAGCCTACTTGTAACAGTGCATTTTTACAGTGTGGTGTTACTTTTACTTAAGTAAAGGATCTGAATACATCCACTCCACCACTGGATTGCATTTTTTTTGTTTTTCTTTATTTTTACAGGCAAGTCATTAAGAACAAATTCTTATTTACAATGGGGGCATGAGCGGCAGCAGATTGGAAAGAAGCAAGACCAAAGGCAGAGTTGGTTTTGGGAATACTTAATTGAAGACGAAGTGAGGACCGGGTGTTGTATGTGACAGGCTTGAGACAGATGACCCAAGTAAGGATAGGCTATAGTTTAAAACTAAAATGTTGCATAAATGTTTACAAGCAGCAACAGTATTTCTTTGTGCTTGCATACGGCTGAAACACAGGGAAAGGATGGTATGATGAAATTAAGTGAAAGTGAGAGATTCCTGTGGCTGGCGTTGGTATCCTACTTGTTTTTTTCCTAAAGATTATTATTTTGGGGGCTTTTATTTGGATAGGACAGATAGAGAAGATGGAAATGAGGTGGAGACAGAGGAAGACATTCTGCAAAGGGCTCCTGGGGCGGGCACACTACCGACTGAACCGCTGGTGGGCTCGAGCAGCAGCCCACTGACGTAACAGTTACCTTAGCAACTGATTAGGCGTTACCAGACTCGGCTGCAAATTCATGAGTGCGCTTTTCTTCTCGGAGACGGCCCCGTCCAGTCAAGAGACGGAGAACCAGCCACTGTGATGGGCCATGGGGGAATAGTTTATGAAGGACGATAAACCAGATGTCTTTTTCCATCTGTTTGAGTTGGTGTAGTGGAGCTGGACGCACCGACCTGAAGAACATCGCTTCTCTGGTGCTGCTGTTGTTGCGTTACGTTACCCAGCAGCAGACAACATGGCTGAGGATGACTGCGAGTGGGTTGTAGAGAGCATCGTCGGCTACCTGGGAAGTCCCGAATGGCTCATTCCTGTCACGGACTTTATGGAAAACAAATGCACAGGTAAGAACAGGTGATCCCCCATGTTCTGTCTTGGGCATCTGGCTACACAGTAACGTTAAAGCCTTTCTAGAGCTGAGGGCACCGTTAGCGCGGTGGCTAAGCTAACGCTAACTTGTGACTGCGATGTTTTTTTATCGTTATTTGTAGTCTATTATGTTGTTGTTGTACCGCCTGCTAACTCTGCGCTTTCCTTAATGCACGGCCTTGTTGCGAGTAAATCCAAATTACAGAACATTTGCCTCGACATGAATGTCACAAAGCACACATGTGACTAAGTTATAAAGGTAGCAAGTCATAAGTTACCACAGCAAAGGTAACTTCGCTAAGATAACTTAGCTAGCTAGGTAGAAGTTACTAAAGAGGTCGTGTAACGTTACTGTCTATACACTTTTTGTGTGCAAGTAACGCTACAAAACTACCAGTGTGTACATAGCTAGGTAAATAAAGGTGTAAGTTAAGTGTGTTTTAAATGTCTATGTGCACGGTATAAATACCGAATTACTAACATTTACATGTTGTTATTCTATATTTTTGTAGTTTTTGATGACGAAGATGAAAATAAGTTATCATACACAGAAATCCATCTGCAGTATAAGAAATTGGTGAGTACAACATTCGGTCCAGATGTGTCAAAGATGTTTACTGAAAGATGTAAATTTGTGCCCCATTTGCATGCATTACCTCATCAACATTATTAACTTGTGGTTTTATGTTGCTGACTCATCAGACTGGGCTGATGTAAGCTGCTTTGATTTTGTAGGTGGAGAAGCTGTTAGATAATTACATGCAGGAGGTTGGCATTAATGAGCAGCAGTTTCTGGAGGCCTGCACCTCTCCTTTTGCCAAGTCCAAAACTCTGCAGGTAAGTTAAGCTCCCTGTCCTCATACCTCTGTCAGCCTGCCAGTTAACCTGGATTGACCAATCATGGGATTTTCTTACACAATCCCAGTTATAGTCCTTTTTTATGTGGTGACATACATATCTGCTCTCTGTCTCCTCCTTCAAGGCAGCAATGTTTGTTTTTCTGATGAATCATCAAAATGAGAGCCCAGTTTGTGAAATAGTATACAACCACATTTATGCTTTTAAAACAGATTTAGATCTGTCCTATTTAAGTGCCTTGATTTTGTCAGGCTGAAGTGTGTGACCCAAACAGTGTCCTGAAAATACAGTATGTGCAATTGTCAAGACAGGTCAGTTCCAAGCAGTGGGTTTTAATCAGAAGTTATTAATTCTTCTTCATGAATTTCTCGAGTTTTCATAACTGTACCTAAAACTTGACATGAGATTCTTCTGTTTGTATTGTTGCCACAACATTTTAAGCAGAGACAGAGAAACAGATGGAACTGGTCTGAAAATGTAAGCCTTTATATCTATGGTGGTGGAGGTATTACTGAGAAGTTGGAAAGTAAAACTTGTATTTGGAAGGTTATTAGCAAACCAGTGGGCTTACCTCAATAATTTTCAATCCTGCTGCTGGTGCCTGTTGGCCTGCTCATCTTTGTTTTTGCATGTTTATGCTCTTGTGTAGCAAGCATGGAACATACACTCACCGACAACTTTATAAGTGCACCTTGCTAGTACCAGGTTGGATCCCCTTTTGCCTTGAGAACTGCCTGAATCCTTTGTGGCATACTTCCAACAAGGTGTTGGAAAAATCCCTCAGAGACTATGGTTCATATTGACATGATTGCTGCAGATTTGTCGGCTGCACATCCATGATGCAAATCTCCTGTTCCACCACATCCCTCTATCGGATTGAGATCTGGTTACTGTGGAGCTGATTGCAGTACAGTGAACTCACTGTCCCATTCAAAAAGAGATGATATTAGTTTTTTGACATGGTGCATTATCCTGCTGGAAGTAGCCATCAGAAGATGGTATACTGTGGTCATACTGAGGTAGGCTGTCACATTTAAACGATGCTCAATTGGTACTAAAGGACCCTAAGTGTGCCAAGAAAATATCCCCCACACCATTACACCACCACCAGCCTGAACTGTTTATACAAGGCAGGATTGAGCCATGCTTTTATGTTTACGCCAAATTCTGGCCCTAGCATCTGAATGTCACAGCTGAGATCGAGGCTCATCAGACTAGGCAACATTTTTCCCAATCTTCTATTTTCCGATGTTGGTGAGTCTGTGTGAATTATAGCCTCTATTTCCTGTTCTTATCTGACAGGAGTGACACCTGGTGTTGTCTTCTGCTGCTGTAGCACATCTGCTTCAAGGTTCAACGTGTTGTGCGTTCAGAGATGGTATTCTGCATACCTTGGTTGTAAAGAGTGGTTATTTGAGTTTCTGTTGCCTTTCTGTCATCTCAACCAGTCTGCCCATTCTCCTCTGACCTCTGACATCAACAAGGCATTTTCGTCCACACAATTGCCACTCACTGGATATTTTCTGGAACATTCTCTGTAAACCCTAATGATGGTTGTGAGTGAAAATCCTAGTAGATCAGCAGTTTCTGAAATACTCAGACCAGCCCGCCACGATCAACCATGCCACATTCAAAGTCACCTAAATACCCTTTCTTCCCCGTTCTGGTGCTCTGTTTGAGCTTCAGCAAGTTGTCTTGACCACATCTACATGCCTAAAAGCATTAAGTTGCTGCCATGTGATTGGATGATTAGCTATTTGTGTTAACAAGTAATTTGAACAGGTATACCCAATAAAGTGGCCGGTGAGTGTATATGGTAAGGTTTTGGGGTTTCAGGTGCGACTTAGCCCACATACCAAAAATGCACTTCCATCACATTAAGGTGATATGAATAATAGCGCTGTGTTGTGTCTGTGTGTATTAGTATTCAAAGATGCAACTGTTTGCCCAGGGTGTGTGAAGCAACTTGCCAAATAACATGATGCTTTAAAAGTGTATTATATTTGTTGAATAAGAATTTAAAAGATAATATTAGTTGCAGTGTAAAAGTTAACAGTGTATCATTAGATGTTCCTCTGTCCTGATCAATAGGTGTAATGTGGCTGTGCCAGATTGGCAGAGATGGAGATCTGGATTTCATTGCAATCCTCAGGAGACTTGGATCTCATTAATTACCACTGAGATAAATACTTAATGTCTGTAAAGCAGGTCAAGTTCTTATTAATTCAAAGGTTAACAGTAGCAGAAATTGCAGTATGCAGAGGTTTCATCACCTGTTAGAGATTACACATGCAGAAACTTTGTATAAAAATGAGAACAATATTATGCAGTCAGGCGAAACAGGCATTATTTTAGTAATTGCAAATTATTATTTTTAGTTCTAATCTCAACTATATGAGATTGCTTGCTTTACTTTTGTGTCCAGGATAATAGGGCTCCAAGAAAACAGAAGTTTTGTCAAGCTTTGCAGTGAAAATCAGTGAAACATAATTTTACCTTATTAATTAAATGTCCTGATGGAAAAAGCTAGAAACATAAAAAAATATGGTCCAGATTTAAAATTACTTAATAATGAATATGTTCCTTTAACTTGTTTAAATTGCTTGTGTGTTTGAGAGCATATGAGAGAGATTTACACGTGAATTTTCAATTTGAAAATACACCTCTATACCTATTATTATATATCAAGATAATACAATGCAGCAGCTTCAGTAGTTCTAATGCTGAATATAACTAGTTCTACACTTATGCTAGAAATCTTTGTACTACAAAGCATGAGCACATGTTTGTTTTAGGGCTTGGGCTGGTTTGGTTTATGTAGCAATGTCTAGGCAATGGCCTCCTGTCTCATGTTTGTTGATCTTTGTTGTTGTATATATTTATGTGTCAGTTTATATATTTATATATACACAATATTCTCTTCCGTTGCCTTACTTCTGCATGGCACAGACCCAGAATAATGCACATGTATATATCTGCAACATTGTTCTTCCATTCCATAGTTATATATTTCTACATTTATTTATGTTGACTGTATGTTTGTCTGCGTGTAGCACCTTATCACCACAGCAAATTCCTCGTATGTGTAAAACACTACTTGGCAATAAAGCTCCTTCTGATTCTGATTGTAGCAAACAAAAGACCAGTTGCTGCAAAATAGTTGACAGCACCTTTTTTTGTTGAATTGTTTCATCAAAGAAAAATTTACAAGAAGGTAAAGAAAACAAAATAGGATAGCCCAAACCTACAGGATGTACTGTAGGGCTTCAGACAGAAACAGTGTAAGATAAGAGAGGCTGACAAAGGGAAATGGTGAGGAGGTTAAAGAGAGAAACTGAGCATGGAGACTGAGAAGCTGGTGACCCGGTTGTACAAAGTACTCTGATCGTGTGTTTAAGTTGGTCAGAAAGATTTGCCCAGCATTAGCCTAGATGGATGACAGAGCTTTACCTATAGACAGGAAGCTGATACGATAGATTAGGTCGAAGTGCCACTCTGTTTATAAACAGCTTAATTTTTCAGGGTGTCCGTGGGGTCTTAAAAAGTCTTAAAAGGTAATAAATAAATTTTGCAAAAATTAAGGCCATTAAAAAGTCTTAAAATGTCTTAAAGGAGACCTATTATGCTTTAAACACAGTCAAAGCTTCAAATAATGTGGGTAAAGTATTTAAAAGAAATCCCTGTTGGCCAAAACCTCATATTTCCTCCTGATCTGAACGCTCTGTTATAAACAGCTTTTTCGGCTCTGCTTGAGGACACACGGAGCTAGACGGAGCAGGTATTCCGTATATGGTCATTTGCTCCACAGAGCTATGTCTGTCAGTCTGTACCACTCGGCGACAAAAACAGCCTGGTGACACGCTTCAGGTCTTGGCCAATCAGAAGACTGTGGGCTTTGAGAGGGAGGGCCTTAAAGAGACAAGAGCATCTACAGCTTGTTTCAGATAGAAGCTGAAATGAAGGCCTACATGAAGTCAGTATAAGACAATAAAATAAAGAAAAATATTTTTTGAACTTTGTATTTAGCTGGCTATTTAGCCACATCTGTGCCTTTTTTATTGAAACACAACTTTTCATAAAGCTGATGCGCTCGTCAGTGTCACTTTTCGTGAACAGATCAATCACAACCAGGAGGGAGCGGGACATAAAAAAGTCTGATGTGCTACATCAAACTTTTCAGATGTTTTTCTTGCACAAAGTTAATGAATAAAAAACAACCCCAAAATGAAACAGCTGTAACTGGAACTAATATTATAGTTTATTGTTTACTATTATATTAACAATATACTTTTAATATAATGTTATAATATTATACTAATACACTCATTCATACTAGCTCCTCTTCCAGGGTGTGGATAGGGCCACTGTAGTTGACAGATGTAGATTTAGCCAGAGCCAGGATGCCATTGTGCCAATATGTGCTGCTTCTAGCCTCCGCCTCCTCCTCCTCCTCCTCCTGAGAGCAACATGTTGACCTTGTTCTGTTTTACATCTGTTTTACAAAAGATCTGTTTTAAAAATCTGTTTTACACAAATCAGATTTAGGATGCAGACAGAAGCTGTTGATCACAAATGTCTGTGCTACACTGCCTACAATACCAACGTTATCCATCGCTCAATTTATTCTCTTCGGCTTTGTTTCCATCTGGCCTATTTGAATTATGTTGTATTGATACAGTGGTCGATGAAAGTTATCACAAAGTTATCTTGTTTAGTTTTACAGTCTCAAAATCTAATATAGTAAATGTAAGTTAAAGATGCGTTGTGTAGTTTTTAGTGGCTTCTAGCAGTAAGGTTTCAGATTGAAACCAACAGTATACCCTTTACATATTTATGCCTGAAAGTAAGTTACAACTATGTCAGGTAGTTATCAACTGGTCGGCGTTTGCAGGCAAGCTAACATTATCTAGTTTGAACCAACTAAAATACAAATTCACACTGTGTTTCACATGTTTTGAATCAGAATCAGAAGGAGCTTTATTGCCAAGTAGTGTTTTACACATATGAGGAATTTGCTGTGGTGATAAGGTGCTACACGTAGATATACATAAAGTCAACATAAATACATGTAGAAGAATTGTAGAAATGTAGAATTGCAGTAATATTGCACACATAAACATCATAGCCTATGTATAAGACAATGGATTTTCGCAGGAAATCCGACCAGTCCTTCACATAGAAAAACGCAGGCCTAAACAGGCTGTTATAGGCAACTGAGAAAGTTGTTGAATTCCTCAATTGTTAGGTGAGGTTACAACCTGGTCACACATACTCAATAAAAATGTTATAAATATATTTAAATTCTTTTAAAAACTCCACAATGCCCCTTTTAAATGTGTGTTGCTGTCAAAGTGGCGTGGCAGTCGTCAAATATGTTGAAATGGTCTTAAAAAGTATTGAGTTTTACTTCAGGATTCCTGTATATGCCCTGTTTTTGGAAGGACTTGAGTGCCTACAAACCTGTCCTGATCTACAAGTGGCTAACAGAGAATAACAAGAATAGCCTAAACTCTACATTGATTATGTTTTATTGTTTATGGTTAGCTACGCTCATGTAGCCAGATACCTGTTTCTGGAAAATTCAAGCACACAATTTGCACATTTTTTTAAAATAATGGAGAACCTTTTTTGAAATGCTGACTCAAAATCAAGCATATCAGATTTTCTGATTGTTTTTCTGTGCAAGAGTAAGGCTCAGTCTACTGGATAAACTTGTTACCAAAAGACTATGTGATATTTAAATAAACAGATTTTTAATTTAGAGAATGATGATTAAAACACTATGTTCAGAGTACATCAGCACTCATTTACTGGGTTTCTATAGATGTGTATACTGACCTATTCTCTACAGTCATAAATGCTTCTCTCTGCTGAGTTGTGATTCATTATTTGCGTTACATGCATTCATTCATTATTATCTTGGGGCACAGTTATTTTTCATCTTCATAGATATAGTTGTTTTTGTTTTTCAGTCGGTGTTCCAGCCTGTTCTGGCTGCAGATGACTTTCAGCTGTTTCGCTCACTGATGGTCCACAAGAATATGGAGCTGCAGCTTCAAGCCCTCAGAGTCATTAAAGAAAGGAACGGTAGGCAGGATCCACACCCCCCCACAAACAGTAAAACACCACTGATATAGCTGCAAGTAAAATGCCTGTGTGTGTGTGTGTGTGTGTGTAGGGGCCCTCCCAGAGTGTCTGACTGATGGTATGGACGTGATGACAGAGTTGCAGCAGCAAGAGATGAAAATCCTGCAGGAGGTTCTCAAGTAAGTCACTAGTCTCTCCTTATCCTATTCTCTGTGACTCTCTCAATCACTCACAGACAATCTCACACACACACACACACACAGTTGACTGCCCTCCCCAGGTCTTGAAGTGAAGTTAAAATTGAGCATGCATGGACAATACAAAGGTAGAATCAAATAAATATGATCCCCGAATTTAGGGGTGCACAATAACTTCACTCAATACCGTTATCACAATATCTCATTGGGCAATATCATATATCTTATTCTCATGTGGGTTGATTTTTTACTCTGTTATTGTTGGCAAAAATCAGCTTTGTTAGACTGCTGTCATGGACAATGTATGTGAAATGTAGGCCTTTATTTATGTGCACAGGTTTCTAGACACTCCTGCCACTGCTCTCTAATGGGATTTTGCTAGTGGCAGCCTGGCCACTGAGTCTAATGGGACCACAGTTAAGCTCCTTAGGGTCCAGCTAATTTAGGTTGGAGGGATTGACACTAAACAAGCAACTGAGAATTTTATTTATTTTTATCCCATTTATCTTACCAGGATGCCAAGGCTGCTTATCAGCACTGCATTACCCTGCAATTCCACCCTTCCAGATATTCTGTCGATACAATGCTTTTCTGCAACTTTCAAGTTTCAAGTCTGCATTTTATACAGACATAACTTAAACCCCATGCATTAACTTAATTCACTGAAAGAAGAGCCTTAGGTAAATTTTTTAAATAATGAAGATGTACTTCCTTTTCTACCAATGACTCAAATCCAGCCCCCCCCCCCCCGCCTTTTTCTTTCTATCTTTAGCTTCACTATCAAAACAGTGTTTGGATGCTATAAAAATCTTAAAAGGATTTTTGTCACAGCTGGAATGAATATGATCAAAATGCTGAAATGTAACTATACTTTCAATTTTGGACATTGATACATTTACATGACACTACTACAATATATATCACCATCACTGAGAATAATTATCATGCATGGATAATTTCTTTGTTCTATGTAAAATCTTGCTTAATTTTGCTGAATACCTATCATGATGACATGCTGATCTTGTGCATAAAATGTGTAAATGTAGACCATTCTTTACTTGCTCTTTTAAATGATATCTCTCTCTATCTGTATTGTATACCTACGGGTAAGTGCTTTGCAGAAGTCTCCTCTAAGGCAATTTAAGTTTTTAAGTAAATCAAATTAAAGGATCTGTGTGGTGCCATAGTGATCTCTGTGATGAGCAAGCCAGGGCATAGCCTGGTTAGCATGTGGGAATCCCTGACGCTGGTATCTGATTCCAGTTTCTAGTCCATTTGTACAAGGTAGATTTATTTAGGGTTGTATAACGAGATGAAGTTGTAGTTCCCTTTATGCTACTCACAAAAGCAAACATATACAACATGCATATACAGTAGATGGGTGGATAGATAACAAATCATAGAAATAAAACAATTTTACATGTTGGAGTGCTGAAGATGAATTTAGGAGTCTCTGAGACTGGTGGAAAAAAGCTGCTCTGGAATCTGTATCTTTTGCCACAGACGGCAGCAGTGCGAAGAGGCTATGGCTGGGGTTGCCGTTAGCCAAAGATTAAATGGACAATAGAATCTGCTTAACTATAGATAAACCAGGCTCTTATCACGCTGGGATGCTAAACATACTCCCGCTCTGTAGCAGGACCAGTTCAGATATTTCAAGCATTGCAAAATAAATTATTTTTGTCTAGACTAATTTATGCATGGTGATAATTCAGACAAATCTAACACTGAACTGTAATAAAACTTGACACTTTCTTTTTCTCTTCTGATAATTTGTCTTCAGAAAGTCAAAGGAAGAGTATGATGAGGAAATGTCCAGGAGGCTGCTATTAGAGGAAGAGGGTGGTTCCACCTCCAGCAGCTCCTCTGATAAGCCAATGGCAGAGAGCTGTGAAGCCCAGAATACCACCTCTGCTCCCAGCCAACAAAGCAACACTGCCAAGGTGAGGCATCATGAGCTGTATTAGCTAAATAAGACCAAATAACACCTGTGAACCAGCCATCTGTAAAACCTGCAGCATCACTGTGTTGCCTTTGTTGAACTTTTCAGTTTTATTTATACAGCGCCAAATCATAACACAAGTAATCTCAGGGCACTCTTCATATAGAGCATGTCTATACCGTACTCTTTATAATATTCTTTACACAGACCCAGCAATTCCCACCATGAGCAGGCACTTGTTGGGAAAAAAAAACTTTTAACAGGCAGAAACCTTAAGCAGAACCTAGACTCAGGGTGGGTGGCTATCTGCCTCGACCGGTTGAGTTGAGAGAGAGTCAACAACTAGGCTAAGCTTAATGGCCTTGCCAACATACATTTTCCCCTTAAACCCCCATGTTCATTTATAGCTTGACACTGTCTCCAATTTGTTATTTATTCCATGCTTAGGCCAAAGCTGAGGGAATCATGATTGATTGTTGAGTTGGAGGCTAGCCAGAGTAAGCCACAATCCTCAGCTGAAAATGTATACACGTGCGTTTGTTGTTCTCCGCCTGATTGGGCTGTGAGTTTTGGTTGTAACGTCACAGTCATGAGTTAACTGGGTGTCGGAGAGAGCTGCAAGTATAACTTGTATAGCACTCGGGTGATGGTTGTGTTGGTAAAGCAGTTGTCTGGTTGTCGTTCTGTTGATGTTGTTGGTCTGATGTTTGCTGTATGACACTGAATTTCCGAAAGGACTAATAAATATCTGTCATCTATCAACTTACACAGCTGAACCCATTATGGGGGGAGGTCGCCGGCAACCAAAAGTACTTCTTAAACGATGCATCCATGAAATAATCTGTAGAAGCTTCGAGGCCATCCCTACTGTATGTGACACCAGTGTTGGCATAATATTCAAAACCTAGGTATCAGTGCATCCTTATGGCAGATAGTGTTTCTGTTTCATAACCTCTTGCTGCTACTGTTTGTCACTTAGCAGCTTTGTTGTAAATTAGGTTGCTCATGTGGTATAAATAGATTAAAAAACGTTTCCTGACTGCAGGGTGACTGGGAATTGTTTCTTGCATTTTACACGCTGTTAACAATTAAAGTGAAACATTGTTTTTTAGATATTTAGAACCCATTTAATAGCACATACTGAGTTATCCACAGGTTCCCTCACCGGTTTGTTACCAGTCAGAGTTCAACTATCAGAGGCTGAGTTGACCAGAAGTGAAAGGTGCCTGCCTGGTCAGGTACCAGCAAAAGGAAAGAAAGAGAAGCAGTTTTTCAGTTTCCAGACGTTTTCTGTTGGTAAACACAAGTCTACAGTCTGAGGACTCTATGTTGTGTTGTAGTGGCATTTGCTTGTTGCAGTATTGGGTTTGCGTTTGATGCAGTGTAAGCATGTATTGATGTCTGTGACTCCCTCCCTCCAGGTCAACAGCAAACCTGTGAGAAACGAAGAGAGCAAGGCAGCAGCCCCTGGAGATGTGAAAAGTGCAGCTAAGAGCAGCTCCATGTCTACACCCACACCAGGTAACCCAGAAAAGCTTCAAACTCTTTACCACCACCTCTCCAACTCTTCTTGTTTTTGTTTTATTAAAATGCCCCACTACACTTATCTGGTTTACTGGTGGCCGTTTGATCTAAAGTATAGTTTGTCAGGCAATGTATCAAGTGAGGATAAATTCCCCACTTGATAGTAATTGGATACAAATTAATTGGAGATAAATTGTTTCTTGTTGTTTTTCTACTAAGTAAGCCATGTGAGCAGTCCTGTACTGCTAGTATTCTTTAAAGAAGTCATATTATTCTTTTTGCTTTTTCCCTCTCCTTTATTGAGTTATATATCTTTTTTGTGCCTGTAATAGGTTTGCAGGGTGAAAAAGCCCATAGTCCACCCCAAAGGGAGTTCCCATCTCCCATAGAAAACACTGCTCTGAACTGCCTGTAGTCCAGCCTTTCCCCTTTGATCCCTGTCACATCACATCAAAATGTGTGTCATAATGCTCGCCAAGCGGCTAGTCCGACACACCCTAAAAAAAACAACGGTGGAAAAACACTGAGCTGTAGCACACAGTGACAAGACGTCCGCCTGCTGCCTCTCCTCTCCCTTCCAAACACTAGCTACTAGTGATGGCAGTGAAGCTTCGATACACGCTTCAAACCCCTGGACTACAATCCTATTGAACCACTGCTTCAAAGCTTGCTTTGGTGCGAAAAAAATCATGTGACATGTGACGTGCCAAGCAGCAACTGCTTCACTTACTGAATGAATCACCGACTGGTTCGCGGTTCATTCACGTGATTCACTGGCACTGCCTCGATCGTCTCGAAAGCTTTGAGTGTGTTTGTGCACCCCATCAATCACATTCACCCCCTGTCATAGTTACACAAGGACATCCAGCCATATTTCCCAGCACTCTTTCCTCAATAACAAAATACATGCATTCATCAATCTTTATTTGAACATGATGTTCAGTCTTAATGTGTAAAAGTAAAGTAGTTTTTCCAGCACTGCTCATGGAGGGGCGTGCATGTATGTAATTAAAAGCCTCCTGTCCACCAGTTAGTCTAATTTACCTGCAGCCTTGAACTTCGTCAGGAGAGGTCACTGTAACTGAAGCTTCGAGTAATGAACCCATTTTCGAAACAATTGGCTCAGATGGTTCACTGCTTCACAAAAGCTTCATTTGCCCATCACTACTAGCTACCCTCCAGGCAGTCAACGGACATAAAGTTGTTACTGTGATGTAAAGACAGAGCTCAGTTAAAACTTTATGGATGAAAGATACATTTGTTACAGATTAATAACTCACCACTCTGAAACTCTTGCTCCAGTCCACGTTGCTAAGCTGGTAAGGGGATATACAGCTGAACCGAAGCCGGCTTCTCACGACCCGTTCTACTCTGCTTCTGATTGGCTAGAAGTCCTTAAATGTGCATGTGCAACTCCCAACAAATATCTTGCAAGATGCATCACTCCATAGCTAAAACGGAGTGTTCTGGTACAACCCCTAAATAAGATTTTGAACCAAAAGATTAGCATAATATGACCTCTTTAACTAATATTACTATTAACACACAATTTTTTAAATAATATTATACAATTTTTTAACACACAACCATCCCGAGAAAGCTGAATTTGAATATGTGTGTTCAGCTTGTGGCAGTAACGGTATGGAGTCCAGAGTGCTTCCAGCAGTGAGAGCTCCAGTAAAGTCTGGTGAACCCTCCGCCAGCCTCAGTCCTGATGCCAAGGAGCAGAGCAGTAGCAGCCGGACTGCAGCTGAGGCGTTGCTGGAGGAGGCACACAGGGAGGCTGGCTTCTCTAAGCCATATACTGTGAGTCTGTGAGCTTGCCACATACAGCACATCATGTGTGAGATGCAGAATGCTTCATTGGCTTTATTGTGCTCATGCTAAATCTGGCTGTCCCTGTAAAGTGTTTGTCATCGGAGACAAAATGTTGCAGAACAACAAAGTTTTTTTCCTACTTTAGTCTCTAGCCCGCTTTTTGTGTTGCAGGTTGTTCCTCCTCCTTGTTTAAGCAGTTGTGTTATATTTTGTTTAACAGTAAGATGTTGACCAAATTCAGTGAAGAAATGTGTCTGACTAGTTCATACTTTTCAATGTGCACACCACCACATTAGAGATGATCTGTAGAAAATAATGAAACTTAATCTCGATGGTACAGGAATCTGGGGAGTTTAACAGCTTTGTAGTTTGTGCTCAGCAGAGATGACCTTATGACATTATGAATGCTGTGTTAGAGATAAAAACCATAGAATTTGATATAAAAACTGCACTGCATCAACTCTGGGGTTAAATCATCTTTATCATAACTAATCAAAACAGTTCATCCAATCATGGCATTTGAATTAACATACACATGCAGTACAATTCAAGAGTTTCTAGAAAACTAAAACTTTAAAAACATATAAATACACTTTTGTTTTGTTTTTTACCATTTACAAAGTTGTCATAAAAAGAGTTGACATGGCAAAATTCATAATGCTTGTGCATGGTTTCAGTTGCACTCCTCCTGTTTTACCTTCAACTCCACTTCCCTCCAGGAGTTATCAGCGTCTCAGCAGGAGCAGCTCCAGCAGAGGGTGGCATATCTGCGTCAGCAGCGAGACAAGCTGCATGCACTGAAAAAAGACCAGCAGAAACCCAAGCAGACAACCACACCAGAGGAGACACCTACACGAGAGGAGACACCCACCAGCACCCCGGTAACTACACCTCTCATCACAAGAGGTCAGGGTCACTTTGGCCAGTGGAAGAACATGGCTTAATATGGAAAAAAAATTTCATTTTGCTGGCCTGATTATATTTATGTCAGATGTAAACTACTCACTATTTCCTCATCTTGACCATTAAAGTTATGAATAGAAGTTATACAAATTAGACAGTTGCATTTTAACACTGACTGAGTTGTGTCTCTCAGTAATCGCAGTAAGTAATGGTGCCAGGACCTAATCATTTAGACTTGATCCATACTTTTCTACTTCTTTTTTTTTTTTTAATCTTTTAATTCAAAAACAACATCCTTAATTTCACTGGATTTTCTTTAACCCACATTTTCCTCTTCTTTCTTTTTCTTTGAACCATTCTTATTGATTGCATTCTTGTTCTTCACTTCCCCCTGTCTGTAATCTGTCCGGGACTGTCAGGAGGCAGTGGGGCAGTCCCAGAGGAATGGGGCCTGTACCCCTCCACCTCCTCTTACATCTCCTACTCCTCCTCCAGCACAACACTCTGCTAACTCCACCAAACAGAAGGTGATCCATCAGCTGCCTCTGCCTGATGTGAACACATGTACTCATTCATCCCTAGTATGTTGCTAAGGTTTTGCTGCGTAGTACTCCCTCCCCGCTGTCTCTGTCGTATGGTCTCACAGAAACTTACTGAAAGTCCTCAAGCCCCTCAAGCGCAGAAAAAGGAATACACTGCAGTCTGAGCTCGTTTCTGCCAGTTAATTGTTTATAAAGCAAACTAACTGTGGGGAATGAGATGTCATTTACACCGCAGATTCATTCCCACCTCACTATTTGTATGCCTTGGGGTTTGAATTGAAATCTAGCATTTTTATGTTTCAACACTTCCTCTTCAGATGTATAAAGCTTTATAAATATTTAATTATGATACCACTTTAGAAACCATGTAAAAACAGGTGTGTTATAGCATACTCCCAACATCAGCTGTTTTTGTTTCGTCCGCTTAGTAGTCTTTCCCACTGCTTTTTCACTCCTTTGAAATTTTGCCCAGTTGTTGACTATACTGCCTGGTCTGGTCTTGATCCACAGGAGATATCTGCTGAGGAGAAGAAGAAGCTACAGAAGAGAAAACATATAGCTGACAAGCTCAAAGAGGAAGTGATCAAGAAATGACTTCTGTCCAACTGCAATATTCCCATTTATAACCTGTTTGTTTACTTTGTAAATCAAACACATTGCTTCCTTTACACTGCCTCCTTCAACCAGAAAATTCACTTTGCGTAACACAGATCAAGGTTTTTCCAAAGAAACATAAAAAGGTCTTCCTTCCTCAAAGTTCTTCTCATTGCTGCCTGCAGAGGAAGCATGTACAACTCCTATATTTTGGATGTACCAGCCTCCACTCATAAGAGAGCACTCAAGTATTCTAAGGTCATGTCTGTCAAGTGAACTGAAAAGCACACGGACCAGTTAAGCAATATTCTGCCAGTGTTACTGACTTCCTGATGACTCGTCTGGATTTTTGCTTTTCATCACTACACACACCTGGGCTGTGTCCAAAGCACTCCTTATTTGCTATAGTGCACTACATTTACTTTAATGACATTCTGGAGTTTCAATTCTGTGTGCAAAATCAATGGACTATATTGTGCCCTCAAAAGGCCACATTGGAATTGTTTGAATTGGAAAATGTGTTCACAGCATGTACACTACTTGCTAAAAATCTTCCAATGCATTGCATAACTATCAATAGATGTGTAAATGTGTGTTATGCAACACTACACTGTTCAGTAATGATATAAAATCACAATAACTGAGTTTCTGCTGGCTATAGAGTAAACTAGTGACTTATGTTGGAAATCCCCGAGATTGTTTTCTCAGACATCAGTCAAAAACGCAATAAACTGACCATGTGGTGAATCAGACTCGACGTTAAGACACATCTGGCCTGGAGTTTTATCAGTGAGTTAAGGGTTAATGCTGGTGAAAAGACTTGATTGGCAGAGTCCTACATTGAGTTGATGGCAACATTAGCTAGCACAAGTGTGCAGTCTGGTTTTCCACTTTTAGCATTCCCAGAGGGAACAGTCAGGAGGTACATTGTGTAGCTGACAACACTGTAGCAGCTCATCCTAGTTAAAGAGCACACTGATGACAATACTGTTGTAAAGGGGCCAAGGGAACAGTATGTCACTTTCCAAGAGGAATGCAGTATTTCATGTATGTTGTTTAATAAATCACATTTTATAAAAACGAACTGGACTCTGACTGTGTATATATAAGCTATAAAGCTGCAGTTACTTGATCAGTACATAGTAGCCGGTCTCAAACTATTCTGATTTAATCTGGAAAAAGGGCTTTTGTTTGGATTTATTACCTTGTGTTCTTATTTGTATTTGCAGCACTTTGAGTACAGAACAACCTGCATGAGTCACTTCCTGATACAAAAATGTCAGGACACACTATATTTGTTGTTAAATTTCTTAGAGTAAGAAAAATAGAGCGACTATTTCAAGAAATTGCAGAATCCTAATATTTCCACAAATAGTATTCAGTTATGATTCCACTCAGTAATATCCAATATCAGAAATTGCTTGAGTGTAGTTTTGATTTGATAAAATACAACCACCTGGACTCAAAGGAGTAGATCAATAAGAATTTTTTTAGCTCCAATTGCCAAATCAGTAAAAAAGCTAGATTCACAAGTTCAATGTCAGGGTCACATTTAATTTCAAAACTTATCAAATAAATTCATACAAATGTTAAGAATGGATAGTGGTAGTAAATGCACTTGGTACAAATTCATCAAGGGAGAGCAAAAACAGTCATGTTTTGGGGCGACGCTTACAGGGGAGGAAAGACACACCGCTGCTCATGTACTGGTGAAATCCTGAAAAGCACATCGTCAATAACTTTACTTGAGCTCGACCCTGCTGTTCGTAGTTTAACTCAGACAAAAGTCTGTAATCTAGCATTTTGAGTCCCTTCACCTGCCTCTCAAGTTTTCTTGCGGTGAGACCAGAAGAGAAGATGCAACACGAGAAATGTTTCAATCAGACACTGAAATATCTAAAAAGAAAAAGTTTCCCTTCAACTTGTTTTTTTTTTTTTATGAACAGGTTCAAAGAAAACTTAACATTAGACGTAGACTGTGGAACAAAGGTGACTTCTGACCCGGATCAACTGGTGCTGAACATTCTGGACCTTCAAACTGGGATTAAAGGCCCCCCAGGCACCTCAAGCCCCTTATAACTCACTAGAATCCTCCTCCATTCAGCAATAACTGTGAGACGTTTCACCAGCCAGCCGTGTTAGAGTGCACAGACACGGTGGGTGGCTTTTTGTTTCTGATGCAAACTGAATTCTGAACCTGAGATCTGTCTGAGAGAAGGGTGCTGAGAGTTGAGCCTCCTGAAGCGCACTAAATCTACTCTAAGCACACCAACAGCTCAGGTTTGTCACCAAAGACTGGGATATGTGTGCGTCACAAAGCCACTAAAATTCTTAAATCCACTAAAATACAAAACTCCAGACATCCTCAAAATGTTGGCTGCAAAAATGACTTTACTGCAGTTTTAATACGTTATTTTTAAAACCAGCATTTGCAACTTCTCTGCATTTTACATTGAATCAAATGAACTGGACTGAAAGGGTGAACAGCGACCCCACCTTTTGTGCAACAACAACAAAAATACACACAGGTAGGTAGGCATCTCTCTCCCCTTTGAAAATCCGATCTGGGGCAAATGATTAAAAATAAGAAAGAAAAAAAAAACATTTGTACAGTACTTTTTAACAAAGTCATGAAATACAGGATTTCTGGCTAACGCAGTCCTGTGTGTGAGACGTGTCTGAGTGTGTGTTTTGTGTGTGCCTCGGCCAAACTGACGCCATGGCTTTTGAAGGTTTGAGTCCTGCTCCTCTGGGTCTAAGCCTCATTACTGTTGAGTTTTAATCCTGGTACATTTTGTCATTTGTCACCTCCCTAGTCTCAACATTTTGTTTAATTCTTCTGTTGTGTGGATCCCTCTATCCCCGACAAAAGTGAACAGTTCTGTGGCAGGGTGGCACACACTACTTCAGCCAGTCAAGCTTTCTATATCTATGACGGCTAGTCCTGCTAGCCTGACTGGCCTGCGGAGCAGTTCATTCACTGGCTGGTTGTGTTCTGGCTTCCTCTGTCTCTGGAGCTCACTGGTTTCAGGTTCGAGAAGGATGGAAGGGAAAGTTCAAATGAGCTCAGGTGAGGGTTCCTGTGTGGTTGCTCTAGTACCGCCGCTTCCTTGCTAAGCAACAGAGCAGAGTTGGGAACCGCCTTGGCACTTTTATTTCCACCACAGCCTCTCTAATCGGTAGGTAGGATGGATGGATGAGGAGAAGAAAGATGTTCAGAAGGAGGTCAGAACTGGGAGAGCATGAGAGTGTTATGAGATGAGTTTGCAGAGAGTCAATGAGTTTCTCCTCGGGAGAAAGAAAGGAGATTTTGGGATCTCCTAGAGGAGGCTGTTGGTAAAAGGAAGAGGTAAAAATCAAAGGACTGATGGAACAGACTGATCAGTCTTCCTATCCAAAAGAGAAGCTCTCCATCTCCTTCCACTCAGGGAGAAAAGAGCAGCAGAGATCAGGAGGGACTGAGTGAGGTGGGAGCTCGTCTTTGCCCGTCTCCTCAGTGAGACTGACAAGTGGCACAGGCAGGCCAAGGACCAATGAGACGACCAGAGGAGGGAGGATGGGAGGGACTCCGTGTCCATCGACCACGACCAAACAGAGGACAATTAGCCTTAAGAGCTCAGACGGGGCCGCTTCCTTGGAGATTGCTCTTCCTCCTCATCTTCTTCCTCTTCATCCTCATCGTCAGGGTAGTCCACCAAACCAACCAGAGCGGTCTAAGAGACACAAGAAGAGAAACAACAAAAAATGAAAGTGAAAGCCGTTTGTCCATCATGATCAGTTTTCATTTCTCTATGAGGAAGAAATGGAAAGGTTTGATGCTTGTTTATCACGATCCTTCTCTGTTTGCTTTTATTTGACAGTCTGTGTAGAGAAAGGAGGGATATGACTCGCAGCAAAGGTCCTACCTTAGCCATTAGGCTACTGGGAGCTCCTTTCAACATGTAATGTTGTAAGCATTAGAGTCAGTGAAATTTTGGACAGTGTAAAACATGATTACCATGACGAATAACATGATAGAGAGAAAATCAGGTCTTTGTGGTATGAAGTGTGTACTTCTGTCTGCAGTGTCGAAGGACAGCATTCAAACGAGATAACACTAGAAACATGATGTGGAACAAAATAAGACTGCATTTCAGTCGTCACAGTCCTCAAAACATAAACACCACAAAATAACCGGATTAAAACAAGGTGATCCATGATCAGGATCTGAACTTCACAGCATTACCTTTACGACCGGTGTGGCAGGAAGAGCAACTGTTTTGACAGAGGAAGTTGAACTGTTGTTTGGAGTGACGGCTGCAGAGGCAGGTGGGATTACAGCAGCTTTCCCATTATTGTTGGCACCGTTAGCTCCGTTGGCAGCTCCTGCAGTAACAGAGACTTTAAATATCAAATTTACAGGGCTCTTGCAATCTGCGGAAACAAAGTTTTAGGAAGATACAGTTATATTAGGGCAACTTACCTTTTTTGGCTTCCATGTACTTGCCGTAACTGTCAGAGAAGTCATCCTCCATCCGGCTCTTCTCCACAGCCTCACCATCATCATCGTCGTCATCGTCATTGAACCACAACTCCTCATCCTCATCCAACGACCGTGCATCTCTGCGATATCTACAGGGGAAGTACAGTTATTAAGTACAGTTATCTTCAGAAATAAATCCTTGATGCCTGAGAGAGCAGTGGGAACTGGGAATTAAAAAAAAAACAACAGGTATGACATCTCTTTAGACTACAGGTGTGCACTCAGTGTGTAGATCTCAGGTGTGTCTGGGGCACGTGGGAGGGAACAGGTGTGCAGGGCAGGCAGTGTGTATGCATGAGAGTGTTGGAGGGAAGGGGAGAATGTTTTCTTTGTATAGATGTATGCAACATATGGGGTGGGGGGAAAAAAAGTGATTCACTTAAGAATTGCGATTCTCATCTTCTAAGAATTATTTTGTCTAAGTGTGGTTTCTTCTCGCTGCTGGCAACTTTAACTTGCCATGTGTCCCTTCAGGCTTCTGTAAAACACAGTTGCAGCATGCAGTGTGGCTGCCTATTGGCTAGTCAGTTGCAGCTAACGTTAGCTCTCGGACAGAGCCCACAATTAGCACTCGCAAGTTAAAAAACTACACTGGCGAATAATAAGAGGTCAGCTGCCAATAGTGGGTTGCTTAATTATACTTATTTTACTTCAAACTCCTCACCGCAACACATAAGTTGAATGACCACTTTTACATCCACTCTGCATGTGTCATGACATGTAATGTATGACCGTCAATAGGGACTTTTTATTTCTCTGTGACAGCAAACACCATACTTTCAGTTACCATTATGCCACACAAAAGCCACATTACAGCTGACTAAAGTAACTTAACTAAAATGAAAAGCAGCTAATCTTCACATCTGTGAAGCAGGAACCATGAAATGTTTTTACATGAAAAACTACTATTGTCAAAATAGCTGATCCCCAGTAATATTGCTCCCCAAGCAAAATTAAAGAACTGTAGTATAATTCAAATGCTCACACCATGCCATCGTTTGCTACACTGCCTGTCTTAGCACACAGCAGACTGGAGTAGATCCAGAAATTAGCACACCTATCTAATGCATTAAGAATCAATTTGGAAATGAATCGTGACCCCAAGGATTGAAAGATACTGAAAGATTCACACCCCTAATGCGATATCGTTAGTGTTTGTATAGTTTAGTCTCAGTTTGGTTTAAAACAATGATGGATGTGTAGGCGTAGCGTGTATGTGTGCAGTGGCAGTGGAGGAACGCTTGCTGAAGAGACGGAGCTCCAGCTTCACATGTTGTGCCGAGTTGTCCGCATCTCGTAGGACTGTCTGATAATTTATCACCATAACCACATAAAGAATATTTTATCGTTTTTAAATAGCCGGCTACTTGAAATAGACCTGCTGGGAACCGCGACGTGCATGCAGTTGTCGGCAGCATTAATGCACGTAAAACTCTGCACCGGTGAATGACAGGCGAGAGAGCGCACCTCAGTTTAGCTGGAAATTTACAGTGTAAGTTGAATGAAAAGAGACTGCAGCTCTGCAGCTTCTCAAGATTAAAGCAGAGCTACAGTGTGTAACC